ATAGTTTTCAAAAGGTTAAATATTTATGATTCTCAGGCAAATATAACGTGAACACATGTCAAAGATTTTATTTAACTCAATCAATGAGAAAAGAAATAAGATGATGAACTGGTCTAAAAAAGCATTTGAGAATCTATACACACACAGACATATACATAAAGGAGTATTAGGATAAGATTTCTCAGTTAGATAAAAAATTGTTACCTTCAAGCAGACAAAATTTTATTTCTATTAAACAAAAATCTGCAAGATACCTTTGACACTAGAGAGTTGTAAAATAGCTCAGTCAACATAAAGTACTGCCCTGAAAGAATACCCAGCCATTTCTTTCATCTAAATTCTGAGCATTTTTATGATATCCATACCCTAATACTCTTAATTTTGTTGTGTCCATAGTCCTCTATCTACATTCACTCCCATGGTGATCTCATTCAATCTTGTGGCTAGAAATAACATCAATATCCTGATGACTCCCATATTTATACCTATAACTCCAAGACTCATTATCCAATTGCCTCTGGTACTAATAGTACCAGATAATAGTCATTATTCAATAATACTCATTATCCAATTTCCTTAGGTATCTAATAGATAAGTTTAAAATTAGTATTTGTAAAACTACTGACTTGGTTTTCCTTTCTGTAAAAGGCCCACTTTGACTACAAGACCCATCTCCAAATAATGCCTTCTCTATTCTTTCAGAAGATTAGAAGTTATTAGTACTTTATTTTTCTCATACTCCATAGGCAATATTCATTTTGCCTTAATTGCCTCTTTTGATCCCCTTCAGTCACATTTTAAGGTATTGGGAGCTAAAATGTCAACACATGAATTTGGAGAGGGAGGAGCACAGTTTATATCATAACACTCTCACTTTGATAGAAACACTAATCTATCTTCAAAATATATCAGAATCTAATTACTTTTTCACCACCTCCAGTGCTACCGCCTTTTATATTATTAGGTATGTCCCTGACTCCAGAGAGACAACCTTCCAAAAAAAAAGCAGGGCTTTGATTTGTCCAAGGGTAAATTAGTAGTTCTCCAAACATGAATATACACACCAGGAAAGTTCTCCAGAGAGCCCCTTCTGCCGAAAAGTTCAGTAAGTGGTGGTAATGAGAAGAACATTATTTCTTTGATTTATGATTACTATGTAGCTATTCATAATATCCCAAAGCACATATAAAAACAACTTCCTCTATGTTGTGAATATTCTTTCATTTTTCTTAGTCTCAAAGTTTTTCTGATTATGTAAGTGATAATGGTCACTGCTCAAAATAATTGATTTCTCTGAAGTACATGTCACTCTAAAGGAACCTGAACTATGCCCATGTTCTAGGTATGTGTGTATGTATGCATGCATGGATGGATGCATGTATGTATGTATGTATTTATGCAGAAAGGCTCTGCATTAGTTTGCTAGGACTGCCATAGCAAAGTACCACAGACTCAGTGGCTTTAAACAGTGGAAATTTATTTTGTCACAATTCTGGAGGCTGGATTTCTAAGTTCAAGATGTTGGCAGGGTTGGTTTCTTCTAGAAGCCTCTCTCCTGGGCTTGTAGATGGCTGTCTTCTCTCTGTGTCTCCACATGGTCTTTTCCCTTTATCTGTCTGTGTCTTACACTTTCTTTAAATTTTTTGTAATGTTTGTTTATTATTGAGACAGGGATAAACAGAACATGAGTTGGGGAAAGACAGAGAGAGAGGGAGACACAGGATCCGAAGCAGGCTCCAGGCTCCAAGCTGTCAGCAGAGAGCCTGGTGCGGGGCTCGAACCCATGGACCGTGAGATCATGACCTGAGCCAAAGTTGGACACTTAACCAACTGAGACACTCAAGTGCCCCTCTTATTCTCTTCTTATAAGGACATCTGTCATGTTTGGTTAGGGTCCACACATATGCCTTCATTTTTCCTTAATTACTTCTTTTCAATCCCCTTCTGCAAATACAGTCACATTTTAAGGTATTGGGGGCTAAAACTTCAACACATGAATTTGGAGACGGGGAGCACAGTTCAGGTCATAACACTCTCACTTTGAAAATGGGTACACATTTCATGTCACTTAGGCATCTGGCACAAATGCCAAAGAGGAATCTGGGTCACTAACCTGCATATCAAGATTCCAAATAAGAGAAATACAGGTGCAGCCTGGGGGGGTGGAGGGTCCGTTCCCTTCAAGTACCCCTTGGGTCTGAAGTATGTCCTAATCTCAGTCAAGCAAATGAGTACAGTACATAGGTTTGTATCTCTCAATTCAACAGAGATTAAAAGACATTGAAAAATGTCTTTGCATTCCTTCATTAGCTGGAAGTCATATCTTTTGCAAGTGGTAGTGGAAGACTATGCTCTGTACTTTTGAAAACTATTGTATTTTGTTTCCATAATAATTGTAGATACCAATTTTATTCCCTAATAATTCAGTAAATATTTCACATAAAATTGGGATTTTCAATTTGTCGAAGTAGTCTTTTCCTCTGTCATTAAGCAGAAAATCTAGAAGAGCTCTGTAGTTGAGACAACAGGCTTTCAAAGGAGGAGAAAAAGGTTATGATTTTTAAAGTCACTAATTGAAACTTTAAGTGTCTGGCAATGTTCTAGTGCTTTGGGGCTGAAATCTGCTTGGCTCCTTATATTCTGTTGTCAGCTGTGCTCACCATGGTAACTTCAATAAAACTCCCTTCATAAATGTTTTTCTTCTGAAGTGCAAAGCACCTTCTTAAAGAAGGTTGACAACCTGGTAGGAGTGGGTGTTTGAAAAATAAATGAAAAGTATTCTGCCTTCTTCGTGATTGCTGTGGGTGGAAGAAGGTGAGGAAATTATTGAGGGGATTAAGGTTGGGTGCAGGAAATGTTTTGCTTTGGGATAAAAATCTGATTCTTGAGGTAGAAAATTAAAATATGCGAGAGAAACTTTCCCTGTTCATAACATTTCCTTATTTCTCATTGTAGAATTTGGACAAATTTTGTCCATGCAAATTCATGATCCACTTTCGAATATGGATTTTGTCTGGGACACATTTAGCCAATACATGGTTCGGTGCATTCTGCTTGGGTCCAGATCAGCTTTCTTGGGGCTCCTTTGGAAGACTTAACTAATATGGGACTTTGAGCACACATCAACTCTCTCTGGATTTATTCCAGTTCTTCCCCATAAAATATAGAGGCAGTAGAAACCCAAGTTTTCAGCCTTAGTCACACATTAGAATCAGCTGGAGATGTTTAGAAAATGCCAATGCCAGAGGCCTACCCAGAGACTAAGGTCTGGGGTGATATCCAGATATAAGATTCTTTTCTTTTTTTATGTACCTAAACCAATTTTAATGTCTAGCAAGAGTTGAGAATCACTGTATTTATTTTATTTCAAAGGGCCCTTCCAACTCTACCTAAGGCATCCACCTACAAATTAATTTCAACAGAACTTGACTCTGATAGTATTACTGATTGAGTACTGTTGCTTTCAAACTTGTTATTATTTCTTTCTGTTGAGGCTTCAGGAAAGAAAAGCATTTACTTTTAATTTAGGAACTTAGCATCTTTATTTCTGTTTATCCACTTATTATCCAGGTAGGCCCAAATCTTGTCAGTGTTCAGTGGAGAAGGAACATCTTCACTTTTAAAACACATTGGTTCTCAGAGAGTTTTATGACTTAAAGATGGCTCAAAAGGCATTAACTTGATCTTATATATATGAATATATGTATATGTACATATATATACACACATATACATATCTATAAATGTATATGTATGTGTATATTTTATATGAGGAAATGGCCAAGACAAAGTCAACAACAGATTCTTAGAGGACTCTACAACTCATTTGGCACAGTGGATAATTTTTTCTCTTTAGAACAGTGGTTCCCATTCCTGATGGAACTTTAGAGTCGCCTGGGAAGCTTTTTAAGAATACTCATGCCAAGGCTACATCCTAGACCAAGTCAAGCTTCCCAGGTCATTCCAAAAGGGAGCCATGATTGAGAATTGCTTGCTCTAGAATGTGGTTGTGTAGGCAAATGGTATCAAGCAACTGGCTAATATGAAATGCTAAGAGTGTGTTCGCCATCTCCTTGATTAGGAACAGCACCTTCTTTTCCCTTGTGGATAGCACTGTCAAAAAGGATTATTCTTCTTTTGTTAAGATTACCATATGAAGGCAGTCTGTTCTTTTATACGTTCAGCGTTATTAAACTACAACTATTTCTACTGAAGATGGCAAATGAAACACTTCCTTCTTAAACTGATGAACAAAATCTAGATCAGTCTTCTCATAGACCCCTTTGAAGATGACTGAAAGAGTGGATAAAAGAGGAACTAAACAAAGACATTTTTAGGAAATTAATTTGTTAAGTCAAATTACATCTCAAAAAGACTCAGCAAAGTACTTCTTTTAAGTTTCTAGTTTATTGTTTCCTGGCAAGTAAAAATGCATTTCAGCATTATTCCTTTGTGATTATGTGTACTGTGATATTCACTGAAAATTTAAGGAGTCCATAGTCTCAGTAATGTAGTATCAAATGTGTGCTTAATTGTCATTCTGGAGCTTGGTTCTGGTGTCTCCCCAAAGCCTATAAATCATTATCAAACAAGAAAATCAAGTAATTAAGCTCTCTGGCCAGAATCTGATCTATACTCTCTAAATCCATGCTCAGCACAAAAAAAAGTATTCACTCATAAGGCTAGTTAAACTCCCGAATAATAAACCTGCATCAGGGAAATGATTTGCTAATGCTTTCTCAAACATAGGGAGTAAAGGAGCTGACTTCCTCCCAAACATGCAAAATCTATTGTTTTCGGTGGCCTGAATGGAAAGCCAAAGCTGATGTACATGGAAAAGGATGAAAAAAGTATTAACAGGAGTTAGTAAAAACAAACAAAAAGTTGCTTTTGCCAATTACACCTGAACTTTTCTTGAGATGACTTCAAGGCGTGTTACAAATTCAATAATTTATGGTCAGTTGCCTTTCATCTTTAAAATCACACAAAACAAGCACTTATTTAGAATGAAATAATTGGTTTAATATTCATGGACTTGAATTTAAATTCAGTCTGGTATCTGAATTAGCACCATCTGAGTATAGAAAGAATTCAATATACATGCACAAATTAGTTTTAATAACATATATAGGTAAGATATATTTGTTTAATTGCTATACTTATTTTGTAGGACCTTTCTTGGAGTTAAACTTATTAGTTGGCTGGGCACGATACAGGTTGAACGCCCCATAGTTCCAGGGCTTTGGCAAAATTGACCTCCAGTGGCTTGCCTGTGCCTTTCGTGAGCCTCAGAGAACGGATGCAACCCCGAAATCTAACATTGGTTGTCAGACCAAACTGATTGAGGCCATCTGCAAAAGAAAGCAAAAATGACTCAGTTTTGAAATGCAACTTCTATGTTAAAGGTATTCTTTAAATTTTAATTCCATTGTAGTTAACATACTGTATTATATTATTTTCAGGTGTAAAATATAGTGATACAAGAATTCCACATATAACTCTGCTCATCAAGATAAGTGTACTCTCAATCCTGTTTACCTATTTCATCCATCCTCTCACCCACCTCCTCTCTGGTAACCATCTGCTCTCTATAGTTAAGAATCGGCATTTTTGGTTTTGGGGTTTTATTTTTTGGTTTGTCTCTCTTTTTCCCTCTTTGTTCATTTGTTTTGTTTCTTAAATTCCACATATAAGTGAAATCATTATATTATTTGTCTTTCTCTGGCTCATTTTGCTTAGCATTATACCCTTTGATCTATCTATGTTGCAAATGACAGGATTTTATTCTTTTTTATGGCTGAATAATATTCCACGGTGTGTGTGTGTGTGTGTGTGTGTGTGTGTGTGTGTGTGTGTATCCACATCTTCTCTATCTGTTCATCTATTGACAGACATTTATCTGCTTCCAGAGTTTGGCTATTGTAAATAATGCTGTAATAAACATAGAGGTGCATAGATCCCTTCAAATTAGTATTTTTGTATTTGAGTATTTCTAGATCCTAGGGTAGTTCCATTTTTAATTTTTTTGAAGAACCTTCATACTGTTTCACAGTGACCGCACCAGTTTGCCTTCCCACCAAGGTTCGTTTTACTCCACACCCTATCCAACTCTTGTTTCTTGTTTTTTTAATTGTAGCCATTCTGATAGTGAGAGGTGATATATCATTGTGGTTTTGATTTGCATTACCCTGGTGATGAGTGATGTTGAGCAATCTCTTCATGTGTCTGTTGGCCATCTGTATGTCTTCTTTAGAGAAATGTCTGTTCATGTCTTCTTCCCATTTTTTATCGGATTATCTGGTTTTGGGGTACTGAGTTGTATTGGTTCTTTATATATTTTAGGTACTTTTTATCAGATATATCATTTGCAAATATCTTCTCCCATTTAGTAGACTATCTTTTAATTTGTTGGTTGTTTCCTTGGCTGTGCAGAAACTTTTTATTTTGATGTAATCCTAATAGTTTATTTTTGCTGTTGTTTCCCATGCCTCAGGAGACAAATCTAGAAAGCCGTTGTCATGGCCCATGTCAAAGAAATCACTGCTTGTGCTCTCTTCTAGGATTTTATAGTTTCAGGTCTTACATTTAAGTGCTTAATCCATTTTGAGTGTGTGTTTGTGTGTGTGTGTGTGTGTGTGTGTGTGTGTGTGTGTGATTTAAGAAAGTAATCCAGTTTGACTCTCTTGCATGTAACTGCCCAGTATTCTCAACACCATTTGTTGAAGAGACTTTTTCCTACTGCATATTCTTGCCTCTTTTGTCAAATATTAATTGTGGGTTTATTTCTAGGCTTTGTATTCTATTGATCTATGTGTCTATTTTTGTGCCAGTAGCATACTGGTTTGATTATTACAGGTTTGTAATACTACTTAAAATCTGAAATTGTGATACCTTCAGCTTTGTGTTTCTTTTTAAATATTGCTCTGGCTATTTGTAGTCTTTTATGGTTTCACACAAATTTTAGGATTGTTGGGGTGGCTGGTGGAGTGTGCAAGTCTTGATCTCAGGGTTGTGAGTTTGAACCCCACATTTGGTATGGAGATTACTAACAAACAGTATCTTTTTTTTTTTGAAATTAGGATTGTTTGTTATAGGTTTGTGGAAAACACAGTTTTTAAAAAAATTTTTTTAATGTTTATTTTAGAGAGAGAGAGAGAAAGAGAGAGCGCGCGAGCGCGCAAGTAGGGGAGGGGCAGAGAAAGAGGGAGATACAGAATCTGAAGTAGGTTCCATCCAGGCTCTGAGCTGTCAGCACAGAGCCTGTTGCAGGCTCAGTCTCATGAACCATGAGATCCTGGCCTGAGCCAAAGCTGGAGCTTAACCAACTGAGCCACCCAGGCACCCCTGCAATTAGTATTTTGATAGGGATTGTTTTAATCTGATGATTGCTTTGGGTAGTATGGACATTTTAACAGTATTTGTTCTTCCATTCCATGAGTATGGAATATCTGTTTGTGTCATCTTCAATTTCTTTCATCAATGATTTTATAGTTTTCAGAGTATAGGTTTTTCTCTTCCTTGGTTAAGTTTATTCCTAGGTATATTTATTCTTTGGTGCTTGTACATGGGGTTTTCTCTTTTTGCTGTTTCATTAATTGTGTATAGAAATGCAACAGACATCTGTACATTGATTTTATATTGCAACCTTACTGAATTCCTTTATCAATTCTAGTAGGTTTTTTCCTTTTTGGTGGAGTTTATGGTTTTCTCTATATACTTATCATGTCATCAAATAGTGAAAATTTTACTTTTTCCTTACCAATATGGATGGATTTTATTCCTCTTTTTTTTTTCTTTTTAAGTCTAATTGCTATGGCTAGGACTTCCAGTACTAGATTGAAGAAAAGTAGTGAGAGTAACAATCTAGTCTTATTTTTGACCTTTGTAGAAAAGCTCTCAGTTTTTCACCATTGAGCACAATGTTAACTGTGGGTTTTTCATACATGACCTTTATTGTGTTGAGGTATGTCCCTCTAAACCTACTTGTTGAGGCTTTTTATCATGAATGAATTTTTTGTCAAATGCTTTTTCTGCATGAAATGATCATATGGTTTTATCCTTTCCTACTTGATTGTGGTGAATGATTTTTTAAAATGTATTCTTGGATTCAGTTTGCTAGTATTTTGTTGAGAATGTTTGCATCTATTTTCATCAGATATATTGGCCTGTAGTTCTCTCTCTCTCTTCCTGTCTCTCTTTTGTAGAATCTTATTCTGTTTTTGGTAATGCTGGCCTCATAGAATGAAATTGGAATCTTTCCTTCCTCTTCTATTTTTTGAAGTTTGAGAAGAACATGTATTGATTCCTCTTTAAATGTTTTGTCAAATTCACTTGTGGAGCCATCTGGTCCTGGACTTTTGTTTGTTGGAAGTTTTTTGGTTACTGGTTCAATTTCATTTCTGGTAATTGGTCTGTTCAAATTTTCTATTTCTTCCTGACTCACTTTTGGTTGGTTACATGTTTCTAGGAATTTATTCATTTCTTCTAGGTTATCTAATTTGTTGGCATATAATTTCTCATAGTATGTTATAATTTTTGGTATTTCTGTGGTTTGGGTTATTTCTCCTCTTTAATTTCTGACTTTGAGTTCTCTCTCTCTCTTTGTTTTTGGAGACTAGCTAGAAGTTTATCAATTTTGTTGATCTTTTCAAAGAACTAGCTACTACTTTTATTGATTTGTTCTTTTGGTTTGTTGTTTATTTCTGTTTGTCTCTATTTCATTTATTTTGGTGCTAATTTTTATTATTTCTTCTGTTGGCTTTGAGTTTGTTGTTCTTTTTATAGCTTTTTTTAGGTATAAAGTTATGTTGTTTATTTTAGATTTATATGGTTTTATATGATTTATATGATTATATGATAAATTTATATGATTTCTTGGTTGACCAATTCATTGTTTAGTAGCATGTTATTTAACTTCCATGTATTTGTGTTTCTTTTCAAGTTTTTTCTTGTAGTTGATTTCTAGTTCTATTGCATTTAGGTCAGAAAAGATGCATGGTATGACTGTGATCTCTTTATATTTGTTGAGACTTGTTTTGTGGCCTAATTTGTGACATATTGTGGAGAATGCTCCATATGCACTTAAAAAATGGTATTCTGCTGTTTTAAGATGGAATGTTCTGAATATATTTGTTAAATCCCTGTTGTCCAAGGTACCCTTTCCTTATTGATTTTCTGTTTTGATAATCTGTCCATTGATTAAAAAAAAAAAGATGTTAAAAAGGGGTGTTACTGTGCTATTATCAATTAGTTTCTTTATACCTGTTAGTAGCTTTTAAAATTTTTGTTACTTGGGTGCTTCATATTGGGTGAATAAATATTTACCATTGTTATATCTTTTTGTTGGATTTTTCCCTTTATTGTTATGTAGTGTCCTTCTTTGCCTCTTGTTAAACTCTCTGTTTCAAAGTCTATTTTGCCTGATACAAGTATTGCGACCCTGGCTTTCTTTTCATATCCATTTGCATGAAAAATATTTCTCCATCCTCCACATTCAATCTGCAGGTGTCTTTAGGTTTCAAATGAGTCTCTTGTAGGCAGAATATAGATGGGGTTTGCTTTTTTATCCATTCTGGTATCCTATGTCTTTTGATTGCAGCATTTAGTCCATTTATATTCAAAGTATTTATTGATAGGTAAAAATTTATTTTCATTTTAGTATTTGTCTTGTGGTTGCTTTTGTAGATCTTCTCTGTTCCTTTCTTCCCTTGCTCCCTTCTCTTATCATAAATTGGTTTTCCTTAGTGATACACTGGATTCCTTTCTCTTTATATTTTGCATATCTGTTACTGGTTTTTGATTTGTGGTTACCATTAGGTTTGTATATAACATCATCTGCATATGGCAGTTTACGTTAACTTGATGGTTGCTTAAGTTTAAACTAATTTTTTACTCCTCTCCCTGCCCTGCACACATTTTAGGTATATGGTGTCATACTTTACATCCTTTTATTTTGTGAGTCCATTGACTGAATTTTTACAGATATACTGATTTTTGCTATCTTTGTGCTTTCTGTCATTTGAATTACTACCATGTGTTTCGGTGTGGACCTCCTTGTGTTGATTTTGTTGGGGGATTTTTGTGCCTTCTGGATTTGAATTTTGGTGTCCTTTCCCAGGTTTGCGAAGTTTTCAGTTATTATATCTTCAAGTAAATGCTCTGACCCCTTTTCTCTCTCTCCTCCTTCTGGGATACCTATAATGTGAATGCATTACTCTTAACAGAGTTACTGAGTTCTCTAAGTCTATTGTTGTTTTGCATATTTTTTCCTTTCACCTGCTCAGGTTGATTATGTTTCATTACTCTGTGCTCCAAGTTGCTGATTTGTTCTGCTTCTTCTAATTTGCTATTTATTCTGTCTAGTGTATTTTTAATTTCAATTATTGTGTTCTTCACCTCTGATCTTTTTTTTTTATCTCTTTGTTAAGGGTCTCATGATGTTCTACACTCTTTTTTCAAGTCCAGTATCTTTATGATCATTACAAGTAATATGCTTAGTAGAGAACTTATTTACATTTCACTTAGGTCTCTTGCTATAATTTTGTCTTGTTCTTTCATTTTCCTCTGTCTCTTCATTTTGTCTAACTCTCTATATCTGTTTCTGTGTGTTAGGAAAGTCAGCTAAGTCTACTGCTCTTGAAAGTAGTGGGCAGGCATGCACTTTTAACAATGTGGAGCTGGTTATCTGCCCTGAGAGAACATATCTCTGCTGCTGAGACCAGGCCAATCCACAAACCGTGCATGAACAAGGTGCACAGTGTTAACAAGGTGTGCATTCACTCTCTGGGAGATGACTGGGCACTGCCACTGGGACAAAAGTCCTGCAAAACATGAGGTAGGAAGATGCAGTATTCGCAAGGTTTGCACCTGGTTTTCTGAGGGAGGGGATCTGCAGAGCCAACACTGAAGCAGGCTGGGCTGGAGGGGGTGGGGCTTGGTGTAAGTTGGGAACAGTTGGGACCGCACTAGTTCCTGCAGGTGGCTGTGCTGGGGGGTAGGGAAAGGCAATGGTGCTTGATTTCTGGAGGAGTCTCCCAGCAATCTCTGTCCTTCTGGGACAGTAAATAATTCCCCTACCTTATGCCCCAGGTGTTTTTCAAACTGTTGCTTCTCTGTTGTATTTCTGTGGGCTGTTTTTTTGTGCTGTCTCTTGAAGGGTGGGGACTCAGTTTCTTATCATCCTTTTGGATCTCCCAGAACCAAGTCTGCTGATTTTTAAGGTTCTAGGCTTTGAGTTTTGCTGGTTTTAAGAACTCACAAAATTTGGCCTCTCTGGTTTTCAAAGCCAGACATTATAGGGATTTGACTTCCCCATGCAGACTCCCCACTGTGAAAGTCTGTGTCTCTCCCCAATATATACCCATGACTCTCTCACTTCTACCAAGGGCCTGTGGTCCTTGAACTCCTCACTGCATCTCTACCCTTTCTACCCTTTTCCATGTGACCTCTTCTCTACATTTAGTTGTGGGTTTTTTTCTTCCAGTCTTCAGTTCATTTCTGGATTGTTTACACTGATAATGTGTGTTATCTAGTTGTATCTGTTGAATGAAGTGAGTTTAGAGTACTCTCTGACATCTTTGCTGAAAGTTTCTTAAGAGCCTGTTTTAAGAAAAGTTAGTGATTTTGTGCTTAGCTTTGCTAACAGATAAACTTGTAGAGTTTCTATAGTTATATATTATGAAATTTGGAGAGATGTAGAATTGTAAATCTTCAGATAGCAAAAATTTGGTTTGGAATGAACAAGTTTACAGCTATGATATATGATGGAATTTTATTTAATGAAACAAATCAATTGATCAAATATTTTACTGAATTGGGACATGGGCTTTTAGTGGTGACTTTATTACTTTCTTACATTGTAAAAGTTATTTCCCAAAAGGTAAAGTAGGATGAAAACTCACACAAAATATTTTCTTTGTTAAGGAGATGCTCCATTCTTTCAGCAGACCTAGCTGGTGCTAACTAGGATCCCTTTTCATAAAGTGTAAGTGGAGAAATACATTATCTCCTTCAAAGTGTCTTGGGGGTTATCCCGATTGAAACAGAGATGGTCCCTTTTCAAACCCAGAAGCAGCTTTGGAAAAATGAGCTCTGAATTGGTCCCCATTTCTCCTATATCTTTTCCTCCATTAACCACTGCTGAATCAATCTTTTGCTTGTTTTATAAAGCAGAGGAACTTTACATGGGAACGACAGTTTCTCTTGCCAAAATGCTGAAAGACCATTCCAAGAGTCTGTGTTATTACAGTATTTATAAAGAGGTGGTTGGGTTATTTCTCATCAAGTTGGGCACTCTTGTTTATGGGCACTTTAGGTAACTCTGTGGTTTATGTGCTCTACTTAATGTGCTGGACAGAGGTTTTGAATGCAGATTTATTGCTTAGGTTTCTTTGTAATATAAATAGAAACTCTATAATAACCTAAGGGGGAAATTAGCTGTGTTTAACCCAATGATTTCCAGAACTTGAGGAAATAAGTTCCATAACATTTTATGATTCCTCTGGTATACTGATTTTCAAAAAATCAGAAAGAACACCAACTCTGACTGTTAAATGCCTCATATCTTTTATAAGCCAAATTCATTTCCTCTAGCCCCCATCTCCTCATGAATGAAACTTTGGGGGCTAGCATATAAAGTCAGTCCCATGTGGTTTATATAAGTAATATGCTCATTTTACACACTGGAAATTTCATGCGTTATTTATGGGTACAGATTCTAAAGCTAGGAAGTATACTTAAGCACACATTCTTGGACATATTTATAGAAATATATAAATATTTTAAATCTACTAACAAAGAAATTCTTTCTAGAGTAGATAAGGCTCACCTGGGAAACCTCCAACAAACACAGGGTCATTTGTATCAGCTGATGTAGATGCTTGGTTTGGGCTCTGGGCTTCCACCTGGTTCCCATCTACTGTCAGTTCAATGCGGTGTTTGATCTTGTTGGCTGTGACTTTATGCCATTGTCCATCACACAAATGCCCTGGGATCCCAGCATCATAGACAGCAGTGAATCGGCCGGCACCATTGTCCACATGAAACATAAGCTAGCAAATAGGAAATTGAACAGTCACAGATGCTTTCATTAGAAAGGTTTTGTGATGGTTTGTGTAGCAAAAATTGTTATTTCTCTAGGAAACGCATTGGCTAGAATAGTTAGAAATGAACATATCTGAGACATTTAAAATATTTTAACAGAAATTAAAACACAGTTTAATGACCAGAAATCACAAAGTAGGTTCTTTGGGGCAAGATGCATGAAGCTAGTAATAATTCTGCTTTCAGCGTCACCTGGGTGGCTCAGTCGGTGAAGCGTCTGACTTTGGCTCAGGGCATGAGCTCACCATTCGTGAGTTTGAGCCCCGCGTTGGGCTCTGTGCTGACAGCCAGCTCAGAGCCTGGAGCCTGTTTCAGATTCTGTGTCTCCCTCTCTTACCCTCCCTTGCTCAGAAATAAATAAAACATTAAAAAAATTAAAATAATTCTGCTTTCAGAAAATGTGATATATAATTTGAGTCCAATTTGAGTCCAAAAAATAAAAAGACCTTGTATACACAGGGACAAATTCTACCATAGATCCTTATAGACTATGAGAGCTGTTAGTGAAACTTATAAAATTTCTAAAAGATGTTTAGAGTGATTCATTAGTTTGATTTACAAATTCATTTTAGAGGATTCTTGGGTTTTTAAAATGTAAGCTTTTGATGTTTTAATTGTATGTATTCTTTTTTTTTTTTTCCTTCAGGGATCCTATTTTATATGCAGGATTGAGAATAACATAAATTACTTTTTTGGGCAAGCTTCATGTCACAGGTGCCAGAGTCTTTGAGCCAGAAGGCCAGTTAAATTCTTAACAATGTAGAACTTAGATTGGAAGTTCATGTCTAAATGAGAAAAACCTGTTTTCAGTAACATGGAACAGTCCCTGAAATTTGAGATGACAAAATTCTTTTGAAGCTGATGAAGAAAAGAAACATACTGAAGCATTAAAAATAGTCAGGCTTCCAACACGTTTGACAAGGTAAAAGAAAAAGATTTTGTTAAAAGATGAAAAACTGCAAAAGGTGAAAAGTTTGTAAACTAACCAGGGATGTCAATATTAAGGTTTTCCTATATAGGGTGGAGTTTGTAAGAGCAGCACTTGGTGAGAAATACACACACATTGTGATGGAACTTGATAGTCACTGGTTAAAAGCAGGTGATGAAATGAAGCGAACTCCAACAAAAGATGTAGTGAATGTGTTTGAAAATCTGGCAAAGCCATGAATTGTTGCTTATCTGTCACCCTTCCCTGCCTCTGTGCTCCTGGATCTTTTTGCTTTATTGCCTTTGAGGATAGTTTGAAGACATCAGGAAGGATGGAGACAACAGAAAGCATATTTGAGGTCACTATGTGGTCTTCATTCTTGGGAGGCAGGAGCAGTGTGTGAGTGGAAATATCCACAGGGGTGAAGCATGTTTTCTAGTTAAGAGCCAGATAGAAAACTTGGGCAACTTCTTGCTTTGCCTGCCTCTTTTTACCTGCTGCCTGCGGTACAAAGTATATACACAAGTCATCTGGCTGCAGGTGGCTGTTCATCGGCAGGCAGGGGCCAGAGAGGTGTTTAGAATGAGCTTACCCATTATAAGCAAATTGACAAAATACATTATGTTGACATAAATTTAGTATAAATCTATAATTTTTTGAAATGGTATCTGGATGATTTTTAAATAGAAACTGATGTGTCAGCTAGCCACCTTGACCTCTGAGATGTACCTACTGTGTTATAAGAGGAAAAGACTGATTTTAGACAATCAAGGCCCCCTCCTTTTTTACCCATTGGAATCTATAGTTTTACATGCAGTGTATTCACAAAGAGGAGGATATCAGTGTGCTTTTAGCAACAAGAGCTTGAGACCTAAAACTATTTGGCCCATTATGTGTCAACACAATTGGCTTACTGTAGAATTAGCACATTTAAAGCTTACACTGGTCTTCAGAATAAGTGTTGAAAACACACATTAGAGATAATCTAGAAGGATAGGAAAATACAATTTAGCTCTCTCCAACAAAGAATACGGTAAGGCTTCACAATAGATGTTCTACATAGGAACAACAACATCATGAGGAAATCAGAAATATGTGGATAGCTGACACTCACCTTTTCATCAATCATTTCAATACCCATTCCATCCATTTTCTGGCTGCTGATTCCCAGAAGAACTCCAGTGGTTCTAGTTGTGCGGAATTCAAATTCTACAAGAAGGTCCAATCCCACTTTGAACCCACCAACTGTAAAACAAGGATTTAAAAAAAATTGTGGATTAGAGTTAAGGTATTGTTAATTTAAATTTGTACAGTGCAATGGTTTAGATTTCAACTCAGATATTAGTCAATTATAATAAGTTCCAGACTCTCCTACGGCCTGTACTTCTACCACTGTATCATATAACACTTTAAAGTTATTGCTTATTTTCTTGGTTGTCTTCCCTCCTAGAATGTAGATTCTGTGAGGGCAATTTTATTACTGTGCCTACCAAGGTATCTGGCACACAGGGTAGTTGAATACATAGTTGTTGAATAAATAAAACACACTGAGACTGACTCAAAGAATCCCATAGCAATGTATAGTTATGTTGGAAGTCTTACTGTTGGATTCAGTCAAGTTTATTCAGTAAGATTTTACTAGGCCACTCTAACATTACTGTTTTCATTTATTTTTTTAAATAAAGGAACTGCAAGCACATTCTGAAGGAGAAGATTCTGGGACATAACTAGATTTTTTCCAATTCATCCAGGTAATTCTATAATTTCCTATATTTGATTCATTGATTTATTTAATCTTTTAGGAAATATTTAAGACATGCCTCTTAGAAACAAAGCCATTCAATATGAGCAGACCTAGACAACATCAACTGCATGGCATATTAGAGAAGAACTATGGCAATTTTCTGCATGTCTTCTATTTATTAAGCAAGAAATAAATGCTATGTGTAACCCCAGTTGTCTCCAATGAAGGGTAGCATCTATTGTGTGACAAACTTATTGTTCTACTGAGAACCTTGATGGGTTTGGATGTGCAAATTGTGGATTTAGAGCAGATTCTAAGAGAAAAAGATGCTGAATTGTTTTGCAAAATAAAACAATGTCCTTTCAGGGACAAAAAGGGAGGAGAAGAAAGGAACAACATGAAACAGTTCAGCTGAAGACAGAGGGAGTGAATTGGCCAGTAAAAGCCACAGTGATCAGGTGGCTGAAAAGGTTTTAAGGACAAAGATGTCAAAGGTTTAATGGAAGTTGTATGTTTTCCAATGATGAAACCTTCTCTAATCATCCAAGTCCATCCAAGATTACATTACACTGTAATCTTGGTTGAGGGGATGGCAGGAGTTGTTGGAATTTGGGGAAGTGGCTAATTTTCTGGTCTAGTTTGATCCAGAATGAAAAAAGAGCTCAGGCAGAATAGCAAGTCAATAAATTAACTGCAGAAGCTAAAGCTTGCCATCAAATTCGACCAAGAGAATGCTAGCCATCTGTGAGTTTGAAAAAATCTTGGGGAAGGCTTTGGATTTTCTCTGCACATGGAATTTAGAGCTCATCATAACCACTGATGTTTTAATGTTTAACATATGCTGTGTTTATTTGTTTTCTGCCTCTGCTATAGGTGAAGTTTCCCAATTATATTTTGTTCGAGGGCTCTGCCCTTCCATCTCTGAAAACCTTTGTATGGGAGTATTCATCTCACCTTTTAAATCCTAGCTCACATGTCCATTCCCCCATAAAGCTTTTCCTGACTTCCCCATCCAAAATTAATTTTTCTTCTAAATTTCCACAGAACCTTGCTTGTATGTCTTTTATAGTTTTAAATCATTTTTACTTGACTTTTTTGATTTCTGAGCACACCGAATCTTACCTGTTAATGGTATATTTTTGAAAAAAGAAACATCTTATTTTCTTCTGTTTCCCATGATAACCTCTATATATTACATGCTCATTAAGTTTTTTCCTAACAAACAAATGCATGTGTCTATGGTAACTCTAGGACTGAATAGTCCATCTTAAAGTATGTTAAAGTCTATTTTGTTTTATAGAAGTTATTTTATATTTTTCTTTCCAAATTGTACATTTACTATCAGTGATCCAGCATGCTCTGGAAAAATGTTCATTAGAAAGGGACAGATACTTAAAGTTAGGGAAACGTGCCAGTCATCATCAACATAAATGAGAAATGGGTACCAGTATGTGTGTGCCATGGGTATAAGTGGGAGATCATGATATGGAGTGTTAAAACACATTGAAGAGAGAAAGAAAGAAAGGTAGACAGGGAAAACTGAAGAGTAGATAAATTGTATGTATAAACATATGGCCCTTCTTGTAGAATTACATTTATTTAGCTGTTATTGATCTGTAGGGAAGGAGACAGAAAAAATAAAAGGCTATTTGGAGAGTTTGTTCTATTAACTTTTTTCAGTATAAGATACATTAATCTTTAAGAGACTTTTTTTTTTTTATTACTAGTATACATTTTTCTTTCTGGTTTAAGTGAAGTATACTAATTTAGGAAATCCAGCACTTTTGTTTTTCCATACAAGCAAGAAGTTAATATTTGGACCTACTTAATATTTAACAGGAAGAAAATGGAAGTGCCTCACCTGCTTTGGCAAAACCTGTTCCATCAAAATACGTTCCTTTCTGAGCATTAGCAAAACACGTTCCAACTTGGAAGCTGGAGGTTGGTTGGTCAAGATCTACAGGAGCCTCCACCATCTGAAAATTCCTGATGCAGCCGTCAATGCTGTAGGTCACCTTCATATTCGAGTTAGACAAAAACAAATAGGTTTTAGCAGAACTCTGCCTTTATATGGAATTCAGTAATTTGTGGGGATGCTCTGTGCTTGTCATCATCAACCAGTTTTCTTAAGGCAGCCCCCAATCTACCTAAATCTATTCTGTCACCACAGGCTTCACATAATGAGTGCCAAGAATCCTCTGTTGTGCTTCTCAATTAGGCTATATCTAGCCTGTATCTAGATTGTTCTGTTATTCTAAACAGTGTACACTGTGACACTAACGGGACCACTGGTTTGGCAGAGCTATGTGCCCCTTACGAATATCATAACTTCATTAGTTCCTTATGCTGGTTCCAGTCCAAGATGCTGATGTCGAAAAATCCTGAACTTACCACCACAGACACACCATATCTCTACCTATTTATAAAATAATTCCTCCTTTAGAAGAATTGAGTGCTGACTGAATAGCTTCTGCACAATGAAAGATAGAGAGAAGGGCAAGAGAAATGGCAACGAAGGACCGGCAACCCCAGACCCAATGAACCGCAATGGGAAGGGATAGTACTGAGGGAGTGAGAGCAGATTTGTCTGATCTGGGGCACAATATATAAAAGGTTCAGCCCCAGAAGCCTGCCAAATGGCGGGGAAGCTGCTGGAACTCTCTGGGTCAGATAGGCTGGTGAGAGCCATGGTTTATGTTCCCACTCCAAGGTCAAGGTCCAGGCCCCAGCTGACCCACCAAGGCAACCCAGGGTGGGGCACACTGGGACACTCCTGCTTGGTGCTCCCTACCAAGGTAACACAGGAACAATGCTTGCCGGAACACTCCAGACCCACGGTACCTCGGCTCCAGATGGCATTCCGTGGCAATCCTGGCACAGAGCACTCCAGGACCTCCTGACGCCCGTTTTGGCTCCAGCAGCCCCAACAGGGGGCTCCCAGCACTGAGTGCCCCATGCACCTCCAGGCCATACCTGCCTCCATTTCAGCTGTTACCAGGGCACCCCCTGCAGGGAGCACCCCACGACTCCCCAGCCCATATCTCACTTCAGCTCTAGCCACCCCAGAAGGACATCTGTGGAAGAGTCCCTAAATACCCCAGCTTATACCCACTTCAGCTATCCTGCCAGGGTGCCCTCCACATGGACAGCCCTAGGGACCCCTGGCTTGCACACACTTCAGCTCTAGGTGTCCTGTCAGAGCACTCTCTAGGTGGAGAGCCTCAGGACCACCCCAGCACATGCCAAGTTCAGTTCCAGGCAACCTACCAGGAAAACTCCAGCACAGAGTGCCCTGTGACCAACCCCCAGCCAGCAAGTCACCAAGCAAACATAGTCTGCACAGGGGATGACCATACACAAGACTGTTCCTTAAAGTTTAGGAGAAGTAGCTGTTCCACTTAATTCACAGAAACAAACACAAAGTCAAGCAAAATGGAGAGACAGAGAAATAGGTTCCAAACCAAAGGCAAAACTTCAGAACTAAATGAAACAGAGATAAGCAATATGCCTAATAAAGAGTTTAATAAATGATTTTAATAATATTCACTGGACTGGAGAGAAGAGTGGAAGAACTCAGTGAAAACTTCAACAGAGAGATAGAAGATATAAAAAGGAACGAATCAAATCTGAAGACTATACTAACTGAAATAAAAAATGCACGAGAGGGAACAGATTACCAGATGCAGAAAAACAGATCAGTAATCTGGAAGATGATAATGGAAAGCACCCAAGCTGACTAGCAAAAAGAAAAAAAAAATTTTAAAGTGTTTATTTGAGAAAGAAAGAGAGTGAGCATGCAAGCAGGGGAGGGGCAGAGAATGAGGGATGAGGGAGAGTATCCCAAATAGGCTCCAGGTTGTCAACAGAGAGCCTGATATAGGGCTCATCTCAAAAATCCTGATCATGACCTGAGCTGAAATCAAGAGTTGGACTATTAACCAACTGAGTCACCCAGGCACCCTAAGAAAAAATAATTCTTTAAAAATGAGGCTAGGTTAAAGGATCTTTTTGACAACATTAAGCAAACAAATACTTACATTATAGGGGTGGCAAAAAACTTCCATAACCTAGAAAAGGAAATAGACTTCCAGAAGCACAGATAGTTTCAAACCAGATGAGCCCATGGAAGTCTACACAATGACATATAATAATGAAAATGCCAGTGATTACAGATAGAGAATTTTAAAAGCAGCAAGAGATAAACAGTTATGTAAGAGGGAAATCCCATCAGGCTATCCATTGATTTTTTTCAGTGGAAACTTACAGGTTAGAAGAGAGTAGCCTCATTTATTCAAAGTGTTCAAAGAAAAATAAAACTCACAAGCAATAATACTCTACCCAGCAAGATTATCATTCAGAAATGAAGGAGAGATAAAGAGCTTCTCAGATCAACAAAAGTTGAAGATCATCACCAGTGTAATGGCCTTCCAAGAAATGTTAAAGGGACTTCTTTAAATAGGTATGGCCATAGTTAGATGTCAGAAAATAAAAAGATGAAAATACAACAACATATACATAAAATGTGGAGGGGGAGTAAAAATGTTTTTCAGAATGTGTTTGAATTTAAATGATGATCAGTATAGACTGCTGTATACTTAGGATGTTATATGTGAGCCTCATGGTAACCACAAACCCCAAACATTTAATAGGTACAAAAAATAAAGAGAAAGAAACCCATACATAACACTACAGAGTCATTAAATCACAAGGGAGCAAAAGAATAAAGGAACAGGGAGGAACTATAAAAACAACCAGAAAGCAATTAACAAAATGATAAAAAGTACATACTTATCAATAATTTCATTAAACATAAATGATCTAAATGCTCCAGTCAAAAGACATAAAATGATATAATGGATAAAAAAACTCAACAAGATCCATCTATCTCCTATAAAAAAAGAGATTCACTTCAGACCTAAAGACACAAACTGAAAGTGAAGGGATGGTAACAGAGATTCCATGAAAATGGCAGATAAAACAAAACAAAACAAAACAAAACATCAGGGTAGCAGCACCTATACCAGACAGAAAAGACTTTAAAACAAAAGAGTATAACAGGAGACAAAGACATTACACAATGATAAGGGATCAACCCAACAGAAGGATATAACAATTATAAATATCTGTGCACATAAAGTACATAAAGCAGATATTAACAGACATAAAAGGAGAAATTGACAGCCATTACCATAATAGGAGGAGACTTTAACACCCTGGTCACATCAATAAATACATCATCCAGGATGAAAATCATTAAGGAGATTGTATCTTTGAATGACACACTAGACCAGATGGACATAACCGATATATACAGAACATTCAATTTCAAGACAAAAGAATGCACATTCTTTTTAAGTACACATAGAATATTCTTCAGGATGGATTACATGTTAGGTCACAAAATATGACTCAATAAATTGAAGAAGACTGTCATCATACCATGTATCTTTTCTGGCCACATGGTATGAAACTAAAAATCGGTCACAGCAACAACAACAACAAAACTGGAAAAAAACGCAAACATGTGGATCCTAAACAACATAAGAGCAAACAACCAATGGGTCATTGAGGAAATAAAAAAAGTACATGGGAACTAATGAAAATGAAAACAGACATGGTGAAATCAGTTCTAAGAGGGAAATTTATACTAACATATAGTATACCTCAAGAAACAAGAAAAATCTTAAGCAATCTAACTTTACACATAAAAGAATTAGAAAAGAACAAGCAAAACTAAATGTGAGTAGAAGAAAGGAAATAATAAAGACCAGAGAAGAAATAAATGAAAGAGACAAAACAATAGAAAAGATCAATGAAACCAAGAACTGGTTCTTTGAAAGATAAACAAAACTGATAAACCTTTTGCCAGATTCATCAGGGGGAAAAAAAGAGGATCCAAATAAATAAAGTCAAAGGTGGAAGATAACCACCACCAACACTACAGAAATACAAAGGATTATGAGAGACTACTATGAAAAATTATATGCCAACAAACTGGACATCTAGAGAAATGGATACATTCCTAGAAGCCTTAAATCTTCCAAAACTGAATCAAGAAGAAATAGAAAATCTGGACAGATTGATTGCTAGTAACAAAATTGAATGGGCAACCAAAAAACTACCAACAAACAAAAGTCTTAGATCAGGTGGCTTCACAGGTGAATTCTACCAAACATTTAAAGAAGAGTTAATGCTTATTCTTCTCAAACTAGTTTAAAAAGTAGAAGAGGAAGTTAAGCTTTCAAACACATTCTATGAGGCCAGCATTATCATGATACCTAAACTGGACAAAGATAGCACAAAATAAGAAAACTACAGACCAATATCTGATGACTATAAATGCAAAAGTCTTCAACGAAATATTAACAAACCTCATTCCACGATATATTAAAAATATATCAAGTAGGACTTATTCTGGTGATGAAAGAATAGTTTGATATTCAAAAATCAATGTTACACCACATGTAACACAATGGAGAATAAAAATCATAGAATCATCTCAACAGAAGCAGAAAAAACATTATGATAAAGTTCAACATCTGTTGGTAAAAATATTCAACAAGGTGGGTGTAGGGGAACATACCTCAACATAATAAAGGCAATATTATACAGCTAACATTATACAGGATGGTGAAAAACTGAGAGATTTCTTCTAAGATCCAGAACAAGACAAGGAAGTCTATTCTTGATACTTTTATTCAACATAGTACTGAAAATCCTAGCCACAGCAATCAGGCAAGAAATAAAAGGTGTCCATATTGGTAAGGAAGAAGTTAAACTGTCACTATTTGCAAATAACATGATACTATACATAGAAAAACCTTAAAGACACCACCAAAAACTATTAGAAGAGATGAATTCAGTAAAATTGCAGGATACAAAATTAATACCCAGTAATTGATAGCATTTCTATATCCTAATAACAAAGTAGCAGAAAGAGAAATTTAGAAAACAATTCCATTTACAACTGCACCAAAAAGAATAAAATCCCTAGGAATAAATTTAACCAAGGAGGTGAAAGGCCTATAGTATGAAAACTATAATAATCTGATGAAAGAAACTGAAGATGACATAAATGGAAAGATAGTTCATGTTCATGAATTGGAAGAATTAATATTGTTAAGTAGATACTGTTAAAGCAACCTACAGATTCAATGTAATCCCTGTCAAAATATGAAAAGCATTTTTTTTTCACAAAAGTAGGACAAATATTACTAAAATTTACTAAAATAGGAAAGTATTCTTAAGAAGAAAGAACAAAGCTGGAGATATCACAATTCTATATTTCAAGGATACACTAAAGCTTTAATAATCAAAACATACTAGCACAAAAACAGACACACAGATCAATGGAAAAAAAAGATGCCAGAAATAAACCCACACTTACATGGTCATTTAATCTATAACAAACAGGGTAAGAATATACAATGAGGAAAATAATGTCTCTTAATAAATGGTGCTGGGAAAGCTGGACAACTACATGTAAAAGAATGAAACTGCACCACTTTTCTTACCACCACACACACAAAAAATCTCAAAATGGATTAAAGACCTAAATGTGAGGGGCACCTGTGTGGCTCAGTTAAGCGTCTGACTCTTGATTTTGGCTCAGGTCATATCTTGCAGTTCCTGAGATTGAGCCCCACATCCAGCTCTGTGATGGCAGTGTGGAGCCTGCCTCGAATTCTTTCTCCCCCTCTATCTCTGCCTCCTTCTCTCAAACAAATATTCAAAACAATTTTTTTAAAGACCTAAATGTGATACCTGAAACCATAAAACTCCTAGAAGAAAACATCAGCAGTAATTCCTTTGACACTGGCCTTAGCAACTTCGTTCTAGACATGTCTCTTCAAGCAGGGAAACAAAAGCAAAACTAAACTATTGGGACAATATAAAAAGTTTCTGCGCAGCAAAGGAAACCATCAGGAAAACAAGGCAACCTACTGAATGGGAGAAGATCTTTGCAAATGACATATCCAATAAGGGGTTTATATCCAAAATGCATAAAGAACTTCTACAACTCAACACCAAAAATAATACAACTAAAAAATGGGCACAGGATATGAATAAACATCTTCCAAAGAAGACATACAGATGGCAAACAGACACATGAAAAGATGCTGAACATCATTAATCATTAGGGAAATATAAATCAAAACCACAATGAGATTATTATTATTATTTTGGTTAGAACCAAAAAGATAAGAAATAACAAGTTTCTGTGAGGATATAAAGAAAAAGGAACCCTTGTACGCTACTGTGTGCAAGAGAAAGGAAAATTGATACAGCCACTATGTAAAACAGTATGGCGTTTCCTCAAAAAAATTAAAAAATAGAACTACCATATGATTCAATAATTCCACTCCATATGATTCAATAATTCCACTCCTGGGTATTTACCCTAAGAAAATGAAAACACTAATTTGAAACGATAGATGTTTCCCTAAGTTTAATGCAGAATTATCTACAACTACCAAGACAAGGAAGCAAAATTAAGTATCCAAATGGATGAATGGATAAAGAAGATGATATTTATATACTTTTATATATTTATATTTATATACATTTACATATAACATGGAATACTACTGAGCCATAAAACAGAATGAGATCTTGCCATTTGTGACAACACGGATGGACCTAGAGGGTATTATGCCAAATGAAGTAAGGTAGAGAAGACAAATAGTATATGATCTCACTTATATGTAGAATCTAAAAAACAAAACAAAACAAAACCAAGACAAAACCAAAAACAAACGAATGAACAAACATAAAGCAGAAACGGACTCAGAGAACAATAGTTGCCAGAGGGGAGTAGGCGGGAAAATGGGCAAAAATGGGTGAAGGGAAGTGGGAGCTTTAGATATCCAGGTACGGAACAAGTAAGTCATGAGAATAAAAGCTATAGCATAGGGATTATAGTCAGTAGTATTGTAATAGCATTGTATAGTAATAAGTGGTGGCTACCCTTGTAGTGAGCATAGCATAATGTATAAATTTGCTGAATTACTACGTATACTTGAAACTAATGTAACATTGTATCAACTATATAATTAAAAAAATAAATTAATTAGTCCCTTATGTTTCTATATCATGTTTCTATTAATAGTTTATTAGTTTAACAGTTTATTAACCTTACTATCTTTATATATATTTTATCATAATCTAATTTGAAATTCTATTTGAAAAGATAATTAAGTTTGGCTTAGTGTTTCTTCCTTATGAAAATCTAATGAAAGCAGTGGACTCGTTCCCAAGAAAATGCACACGCACTTAAAACTTGAAAGTCTGCATGAAGCATTAGAATTGAGGGACCATACAAATAATTCAGTCATGCTCTACTCCATTATATCTCATCTGGTTTTAGAGACACAAGTTAATCACTCTTGCCACTCTCCAGAGATTCTCATTTTGATAGGTCTAGGTATCATATCCAATAACTATGAAAAGAACTTAATGCTGATCACTCACAAGAGGAGGCAAAGGCTGAGAATTAAATGATGATGAACAGTTGTGTTTGATGAAGAATAGCTCTGCATTATCACATGTTCTAATCTGAGTATAGAAATGTAACACATTTCTTTGTAATAGGTTCCTAAAAACACGGATCAGGGGATAGTTCTTAAATATCTATCTTAAATAACTATCAGGGGATAGTTCTTAAGATAATGCTTTCCAAAGGAAACTAAGACATATGGTCTGACAAAAATTATTCAGTGACTACTGATTTATAAAATTGTGAGGACTTTAAATTTTGAACCCTATACTGTACGCTAGATACTGTAGACCAGCACTGGACAACTGTACTCTACACACTGCAATCTCTCCATATTTGCACAATCTCTAGTCCTGAAACAATGCCGCCAAATAATATTTTCCTTGATTCCCAGGGCTTTCTATATGCTTAGTACTCTTCCAAGGACTTTAAATATATCACTTCATTTAATTTTTGCAATAACCTTGTTTGGTATTATTATCCTATTTTACAAAAGAGAGAATTTTGTCAAAGAAAGATTAAGTTACTTGCTCCAGACCACATAGCTAGTTAAGTAGGTATGCAAACAGAGGGTGTCTGGCTCTAAGGTCCACACGCTGTTTTGTGATATTATCCCTCATCATCAAATCAGTCTAGAAAGCTTTCTGTCACTTCTCAGAAAAGAAGATTTCCTATTCACTCATAAGTGGCCATAGACCAATAAGACCTAGTAATTCAACATATGTACAATGACCCAGGCAATTATTTAAGCCACCAAAAAATTAATTAATTAATTAAACCCTTACTGGACCAATTCTTCGGGTAGTGTAGTTGATGGGCAGTCCACCAACATACAGTATCCCCACAACATCCAGGATATCAGCTTTCTTGGGACTGATGGTTCTGTTGGAAGCATCATCTACATAAATAATTCCTTCTTGCTTAATTCGCACAATCTTAATCTACAAAAAAGAGAGGAGTTATTAAAACCAATCAAGGATACATTTTAAATATGCAGAGTGTAAGATGTAAGAACTTTCTGGATATTCCTTAGCGAAGGGCAAAACAACTTCTGAGTGCCTAACATGTGCAAAGCCCCTAGGTGAAATTGAACTCATTGTGCACAATATCTCAAACTCTGTCTTTTCCAATACTACCATCTCCAAAAGAGTGCAAAATCTCCCTGGGTGAGTTTTAGATTAAAGACCTTTGTATAGATTGCCAAGTGAGCACATGTATCAAGAGGTATGCATACTGTCAGGAACCTCACGGATTGAGAGCCCCATCATGAATTAAGTGGGCTGCAAAATTCATGTCCAGTTTTAAACATTCATTAGTTTGAGCTAAGCCTGGTCTCCTCAGCACAATTTCATATATGCTACATCCCTCTGCCTAACAGGCATTTCTTGTGCAGAATTGAAGGAAGGGCAGCACATCAAGTTTGCAAGGCAGTTTCCACAGCAGCTGATTAGTTCAAAGGCAGGGAGGAAGATGGAAAGCTACCTGATACAGAAATTACAGCAGAGGGTGAATTATCTTTTGGGACCGAAGGAAATAAGGAGCGTCAAGACTGGCGTGGGCATAAAAAAATTTGAGTCTGAGTTTAGGAAATCGAGTGGGTGACCCTGTCAAATGCTGGAGTACAATGGTGGTTTAAAATGAATATGTTGGGATTAGAATAATCAAAACCTCATTTTAAATGTATCCTGGTTTGGAAAGCAATTTTTAAAAATCTTCAAAAATAAAAATTCCTCCTTAATTTGGCTGCTTACGGTATTTAAACTTTCTTTCTTAATTCCAGATGCATTGTGGAGCAACAATATGCCAGATTTTTTAGCCAGAGAGGAGAATTAGCCTTAACAAGAGCTCCTCCATGAAGATCAGTACGTGCTAGTCAGAAGCTCCCAAGCAAATATGAAGATTCCATTCCTTATTTCCAAGATAACAAATGGACAGACTTTGCATTTTGATTATATTTTTGGGGGGTTCTTTGGCTTTCTATATATGACAAGCCAAAGCATGTTCATATATAAAATCCAACACCTAATAATATCAAACTTTAAAAATTAAACACTTTATTGGTCTACCTAGGGAGGCTTTACTGAATAGGCAATCACAGGTGCAGAGACAAATTCTGAGTTTTCATTTTAATCAGGCAGTATATTATCTACTTGCAGTCATGCCAAAGAGGACAGTAAGCTGGCAAATGAGCCTTCTGTGCCCATAATAGTACCAGTTTCTGGGTGTAAGGCCAACGTTTTAACAGTTGTTCCAAATGACTGTCGGTGGAAATGTTGCCCTCGAGCCCTTTAAACATGATATAGCAGATTCCCAAACTCTTGGTTTTCACAGACTGGTAGGGGGTGTGATGGAGGGCCCATTTTAGTTTTACCACCTTTTAAGCTTGTCAAATATTATCTCATAAAAGAGAGGCCATGTTAGCACCTTAAAAGCAGGAAAATATAATCTCAGAATATACAGTATTCCTCTAAATTGAATACATAGAACTAGAGGAAAACATGCTCCATTGTCCCACATTTCTCACTTACAGTAGCGAAACTGTCCTCAACTACTTGGCCCCGGTCTGCGGACAGATGTTTGGGTAGCACAGCTGTATAACAATAATGGAGTCTTGTACTATGATGAAGGATGTAAGTGATCAAACATAAACCTACGCAGATCTGATTACATTTCCCAGTTGTATGTGGCATTTGCTTTATTTTTAGCCCCAGCCACATTCCAGCACCACCAGAGTCGGCACTGGCAAAATAGTACCTGCGCCAGGGGAATGCCAATGGCTGCCGCTCAGTTACCCCCTCGTAGGCCACTGTCAACATCTCATGGACTATTACCTTGTGCCACTGACCATCGTTGATTTTGGTGGGGATCATGGTGTTTGTGTCCCCACTTCCCAAGTCATAACTGAAGTAGGGCAATCCATTTCTCAATTGAACAGTAGCAAAATCAGCATGATTGATCCGAGCCATGTAAAAAAGCAGGCCTGATTCAGCTTCAGTTCGCACTTCAAACTCGATTGTGAGGCTGTGAAAGCACGCAAAATAAAACAGAAGAGTAAAAGCATTCTTATCCTAAGATAAAGTCGCCTCTGATCATGGGCAGTTTTCATACAGGGCAGCAAAACCTTCTCTGAAATGGGGACTTTCCAGGTCTGCCGATTTCCTAAACTGAGCTCCTCAGGCTCAAATATCATTCTATGCTCTATTGTACTCAGTGAATTAAAAACACTCAGCTCATTAATAAATAAATGTAGCCGATTAAACTTGAATCAGTGCAGATACTCAGTATTTCCATTTATCAGTTCTTTCCCACTCTCTCAGAAGAATACATACCGGTTTTTAACTTTGGTGTCATCGAAGGCAATTGCAATGTGACTGTTTCTTGAAAGCCCGAACTGCTTGCTCCCTATCAAAAGAGCAGGTTCTGATTCCACAGCACAGGGACCCTGTAAAATACCCAGGAGAGAAAGAGCAGATTATGGACTTTGTTTTTTCAAAATCTGATCCTGTTATCTACTTGTTTCTTCTATTTTAGCTTAATATTCCTATAGAATCTTATTGAAGTTCCTTAAGAAGAAAACTCATTTATCTCTGTATTCTACTACATAAGAGGCAGTTACTATGAAATGTTCAGTGAATGGGAATCTGTTTTCTTGTCCTGCACCCTTGAATCGCCAAATCGACGTGCTCAAAAATATTTATTGATCAATTCATGTTTTCATTACCCTCGAAGGAAAAAAATTGTTTATGTTTCTGAGAAAACTGGAATTTCCTTTTCACTTTTACTTCACTTATGAAGAGTTATAGTCTTCGAAGATTGGAGAGGGAAAATGACAAGCTAACCACCAAGTTATAAGAGGAGAAAAATGTGTTCCTTCTTGCCCTCCCCATTTCTATCTCCCACTATATTACTTTTTCTTGAAAATTATCAGTCTACTGGAAGGTTTCCATGAATTTAGACTTTCAAGATGGTGTATCTAAACTTGCAAGTCAGGCCATTCAGGCCCTGAGCCAGTTGCTAGGCAACCCAGTACATTTTTTAATGTATCCCACTATATACCATTTCAACTGTCACTGTGCAAAGATCCACTTCTTGGAGTTCTTATGAGGGAGAGCTCCGTGGAGGGCTGGCTTACTTGGTTTAATGCTCTGCTGTCACCATCTTGAAATTCCTAATACTTTTTGAAAAAGGGGCCCTTCATTTTCATTTTGCTCTCGGCACTGCAAATTATACAGCCAGTCCTGGCTGAGTGGACTGTATTTGGCGAGTGTAACCCGTAGCTCAATAGATAATCAAGGGTCCTCAAATTACTAGAGTCATAATTCCTTTCTCTGTTCTCTATTTTCAGAAAATAGCTTGATGTACCGGCTGCTTAAGAGGTCTTTCAGAACACGCAGTACCTGGGAAAAAAACCTGTACACTCTCAAACAACACAGCTGTTTTTAAGATCTGCACTTAATAGCCCTGGATGGGCCACTGTCCCAGTGAGTGCTGACTCAGCAGAGGTTCTCAAACAGCCCGAGGCAGTCTTTTGATACAGAATGTTCTTCTCAAATAGAAGAGGAGATGACTCATCAGTGCACAGGACATTTTTACTTGATGAGGAAAAGCCTTGCTTTCGTTTCTCTTGAGCTTAGTCACACGGAGCACTCTGCCACAGCAGGTAAAAGGCTTTAAGTGTTTGAAATGCTATAAAATTGGTCTTCGTGGAAGTATTTCCCTTCTTGCTTCCCGGGAGCTGGTCAGTTACAAAGAGCAGACTGTGGCAGAAATTCACATGGATATGCAAAAACCCAGTGGGTAGAACAGGAAAATGCTATTTAGTCACACAGCTGAATGGCCTCTCTTGGAATCAACATGTGGCCCCTTTCTGGTTACACTGCCTGTAAAAAGAGCCCAAATGGAAAGGCTTTGGTAGCTTAATGTCTCTGCCTGCAATGACGCTATTAATAGAATTGGGATCATTTATCAACTTCTCGCGATATTTCCTGTACAGAGGCCTCCTGCCGCAAACATTAGTAGTCTGCGAAATCTCTTAAGTGAATCCTGCCTGCTGTGAGTCCATTAGGGGCAGAATCTCGCTAAAACGTCTCTAACTCCTCAGCGCGGAAAGCTGAGAAACTGAAAAGGTCAATGGATGCTGAGGAATTAGGGAACAATGAGTGTGGCTGAAAAGAAAACCACCTGCATGTCATTTCTATGTTATTCTTAATCATTGTGGTCACTTGTCTAGTTGCTATATATATAAATGTTAATATAACATAACTTTTCTACTATAATGTTTTAAATGACCAAAGTGACAATTCTAAAAGTTAGGTGTTTATTGGTAGCAGCTACAGGTCATGGAGAGCTTTTGTCTTTATATATTTTGGGCATCAGGGACAAATACCACCATAAGCTTGCTTGCTGGGAGACTGGACAGATCTTTCCAACACTGGTCCTAAAGCTGATCAGTTTTCTGTCACATACTGTCACATTTTCTAGTTGCAAATGACCCTGCTCACGTTATTTTAGGAAAAACCTTGCCCCGCAAAAGACAGGGACTTTGTACAGGTCCTTTTAAGAAGCATTGCATGACACATCCACTGGAAATTTAGGAATAGTGCAGCCAGAGGGGCTCTGGCTTGACGTTTGCAACAGGCAGATTCCTCAGACTGGCCAGTGTTCTAGAAGACAGTGATAACGGGTCACTCTTCTACATAACCTCAAAGTAGAAAAGCTTATGCTAAGTTCACTGTATGTTAAGGACACTCAAACTGATGTTTTCTATCATTAGTTTGCAATAGGATGGACACTATGGATATTTCTTTACTAAAACTTCTGTCACCTTCCTTTAGAAAACGGCAGTTGGGAGAGGACTGAGAAGCGCTAGTATAGGAAAGTTTTTTATATGTGTGTACATTTGGAAGACAATTTTCCAGCCTGTATTCCGGGAATGTTTTTGGTGCAAGTGTAGACCTCTAATCTCACTTGGTTAAAGACAAATTGGCTGGATCGTGTCTGCTCTGCTTCACTTTCCCCAGGGTGAGTCTGAAACCAGGCCCGATTGGGATGTGCATGCACAGGAGGGGACAGACCCTAATGGTTTGCCTGTGGCTACTCTCCCTCCCCTACTCCCTGGTGCCCCTCAGAGGGTTGAGCTGATCCTCTGGCCGCTAAAACACCTTTTTGTTCCCTTCTCACACTTTATTACTATTAGTTTTCAATGTCTTAATTTATTTTTGAGAGACAGAAGCATGAGTGGTGGAGAGGCAGAGAGAGAGGGGGACAGAGGATCCGAAGCAGGCTCTGAGCTGAGAGCAGAGAGACTGATGCGGGGCTCAAATTTACAAACTGTGAGATCATGACCTGTGTTGAAGTGAGAAGCTTAACTGAGTGAGCCACCCAGGCACCCCTAACTCTACCGTTTTAAAGACAATATGTGAGACGGAACAAAAAGTACCCCATGGTTTGCACAAGAGTAAGATGATCTTATTTTCCAACCTGCTTCCCTCAGAAATCTAAGCTAAGGAGAAGGGGTAAGAGAAAGGGTCCTTTAGTGAGGCAATTCGAAGGAAACTTTAAAGAATGATGGTTGCAAGACAAATCTTCCTCCTCCGAGCTAATGTGAGCTTGAGAGAGGGCATCATCTTTATGGATGTGCGACTTTACCTGTATTATGTGAAAACACTTACCTTTGAGATGTATTAAAACAACAGTAATAATAATAAAAAAAAATCAGTCTCATCAATCTCAACATGTTACAATCCTGCCACCTTGTGGGAATTCTTTAAAGTACTGCATGTGCATATGGGGAAAAATGTGATCTGGAGGACACAGCCTGCTTGCTTGTCGCTGCTTGGCAGGTGACAAGTTGTGTGTAGACAAGACTTAAGTGAGGAGTCTAAATGTGGTGGTGGGCCTGCTGACGAGAGCAGTGGTATAGCTGGAGAAGATTCTGAAAGAAGCCATGTTTCTTAAAGCTGCGCTCTGGCAAATGGATAATGCAAACGATTAGTAACAGCGAAAACTTTTTCATCTCACAGTTACTCCATTTCAGGTCAGAATAAATCAGTGGTCATTTCCAGCTGCTGTTGTTGGCTGACATTTGGAAATGAGTTATTGGATTCAGGGTAGCCTATGATTGGTAGGCAAGGATTCCTTGAATTCAGATTGGTGCAGAGCAGAGATTTAAATTGCATTTATCAAAACTGGCATCTTTGTTCTTGAAAGCACCAAATGATGAATGATCATAAAAACTACATCAGTTTCTTCCTTTATGAGTCAGTAATCCCTCTAACAAATGTGGGCTAAAATCACATCTGAGAAGTTGGATGTTTCTTTGTGATGCTCTTTTTTATGGATGAATACTAAGTGGAAGATACTTTTTACGGCACTGACTTTAATGTCCTGAAATATAAAATCCCTACTGAAGCTGTTTGAGAAAGTGAATTATATTACCACTCAACACATGAGCTTTTTTGGTAAAGTACTGGGCATTGCTGTTATATTTATACACTAACACCTGAATAGAGATTTCTTATAATATGGAAAACGTGTTTTCCCTTTAAAGACATATCAGTATCCAATTGATTCATCTTTTGGCATAGACTGTACTTAGCTTTTAAAGTTGTAGTATTAAAGCTGTTAGAGAAATAGTTTTCTTTTGGTCTATTCTTCCCTTCTCTGCCCACTTTTTCTCCCCAACTCCCCAAGAGCCCTTAACAACATAGGACGCTTCACGGCTATTTATATCACTCTTCTCAGTGTTCACATTTCAAGCTTCAAGTTCAATGTTCCAATCAGCTTCAAGGAAAAAAGCACAGCCAGTCATTGTATACAAATCCACACAGGGCATGCTGGTTATAAAGACTTGGTATAAATACTATAGGTAGTATTACTGTAGGTGGTAATAGAAGTCTACAGTCTTAACTAATCCCACCCTGAACCATCCTCCATGAGAAATCTCCACAAATATAATACGTAGAAATGTTTTATCAAGCTCTAAATGAACCAAAGAATAAGAGAGAAGCATAAAGGGAAGGTGGGCTACCACACTATCAAATGGCATAATATACATATAATGCTCTCTGATCTATGACATTCTGGCATGTGTTAATGTGGGACTGACATAATCCATTTCACAGGGTAGGGCTTTCTCAGGATACTTTGAAGCTGTGCTGGGTATAGTGAAAATCATCCTCCTGGTGTGAGTGCTGGTGGGGAGGGGTGCGATGATGTAAAGAAGAAAAAGAAAACGGGACTGAGAATAGAGGATAGTTCCTGTTGGCTCTGCTGGAATAAATAGGGGATAGTTCTTATGTCAGGATTTAACTTGCAAGTCTTAATTGTTAAACCCATTCTTACAATCTAACTTCTGATTAAGAAAAAGGAAAGAAGATGATGAAAATGGAAAATGATGTGAGACTTGAGATATAATAGCCATCTCCTGTTGGAGTCTGTAATTGTCGAAAAATGGAATACTCACTCCACTTTTTTCCCCTGGCACTTGCTCTCACCCTAGAAGTGTGAAAGGGTAACTATTCCCAGAGAAGATGGAGTGTTACTATGAGCCGAGCCCTGTGCTAGGTGCTTTGCCTACAGACTATAATTTATTCTCTCCTAATCCATGCAGGTAGATATTATCCTTCTTATTTTCCAATGGGTCAGCTTACATCCAGAGAGGACAAGTAACTTGCCAGAGTCCACTGTGTAAAAGTAGGTGGACTATGGCAGGGAAGAGGGGCATGGCAATGTCCCAGATCACTGGAGTAAAGGCCTAGTTTGCTTCCTCAGTGACCCCCAATGTGGAGGGGTTTAGGGAGACCCACTCACTACATCCCTCTCTCCTGGAGGAGAAATTAGCTATCTAATGGGATGCTGCAGAGGAATCAAGGTTGAAAATCACTGCTTTCATGTTTTAAAAAAAGTTATGAAAACAAAACACACGTAAGAATAGTTTGTTTAAATGATGAAAATCATCTCTAGTCCATAACACATGTGCTGTTAGCATCTGATATATTTCTTGCAAGGATTTTTTAATTTTTTTAATGTTTTATTTATTTCTAGGAGAGAGAGAGAGAGAGACAGTGTGAGCAGGGGAAGGTCAGAGAGAGAGGGAGTCACAGACTCCGAAACAGGCTCCAGGCTCTGAGCTGGCAGTCAGCACAGAGCCCGACGCGGGGCTCGAACCCACGAACCACGAGATCATGACCTAAGCGAAAGTCGGACGCTTAACTGACTAAGCCACCCAGGCGCCCCTCTTGCAAGGATTTTTAAAGCGTTTTTCTATCTTTCGATATAGATGTGTTTATGCAGTATATATTGCTTTATATCCTGTTTTCTCCACTTAACACAATGTCATAAGTATGTCATCATCATTTTATTTTGTTTCAAGTGAAAGATTTTATGTAGAAGACTGGGATGACACATTAACATTTGCATTTTATAGACCCGTTTTTATACTTCTAGGTACCACTAATCATTTTGTTTGGATGGAGTTTAACGGTGTCCCCTGCCATTTTTCCAATTTTTAATCTTGCAAGCGAGTGGGTTGTGTTTGTAGCCCACATTCCACACTTGTCCAGACTGACCTCCACACACACTTGCTCACTCTATCATTTATATTAAGGTCTGATTTCTCAAATCTGCCTCTCTGTCTCTTCATCTCTGTCTCTGTCTTTCCCCCTCCTCATCTCCCTCTCCCTGGCTAGCAGCGAGGATATCTTATTCATGTTTGTATTTAGTAGACTCTTAACAAATCTTTGTTATAAACCTTCAACTTTTAGTAACCCTTAGAAAGCAGACATTCTTCTCCACACACACGAAAGAATGAGAATGAGAGAAAGAAATCAAATTAAGAGATATATATGGTTCCATAATCTGAAACTGTAAAACTACAACTCAATAGGGATAGAAATTCTAAAAAATGTAATTACAACCACACAGTATAAATAATTATAATGTGCAAGAGGAGGGGAGGGAGGTAGCAGTTAGAATTTAGATATCTGGGTTTTAGTGGCAACTATCTATAACATGTGTGATCACAGGCTGTTCTGTAAGTTCAAGGGCTTTCTCTTCCCATGTGGAAATTAAAAATCAGAATCTTTAAGATCCCTTCCAGCTCTGATGTTCCGTGAGTCTTTGTATGCCAGCCCACAGGACTGCCATTCAACTTCTCTTTTGCTTTTGTCTTGTCTAAGTGGAATGTTCTGTTTTGGAAAAGTTAAAACATACACTGCTGAGAGAAAATGGAAATTGGAATTAGAACAGAAGGTTATAAGAAAACTTAAATGAGTTAAAATCTCTAGTTCCAGATGGGAAAGTATCTTTATTTTCAGAAAAAGGGAAAAAACGTGATCTTGGGAAACCACAGGGGGATATGCTTGAGACTCCCTATAAAATAAAGTCTTTGTGCGGATTTAGTAAAGAAAGGTGAGGGAAGCCTGGGTGGCTCAGTTGGGTGAGCATCCAACTCTTGGTTTAGGCTCAGGCTATGGTCTCACGATCATGGGTTTGAGCCCCATGTCAGACTCTGTGCTTGCAGTGTGGATCCTGCTTGGGATCCTCTCTCTCTTCCTCTCCCCTGCTCGAGCTCACACCCTCTCTCCAAATAAAAAAATAAAATTAAAAAAAAGGAAAGAAGGAAAGGAAAGGAAAGGAAAGGGAAAGGGAAAGGGAAAGGGAAAGGGAAAGGGAAAGGAAAGGAAAGGGATCATTGGGGACCAGCAGGCTTCCACACAGATAAACCATACCAAGTCAAGATGGGCTGGCTGAGAGAGCTGACTCAACAGAAGTTTGAGTGGTACAAAGGCCCTCAAGATTGTAGTTGACTGAATATGGTACCTGATGATGAGCTAATCGCATGATCCAATGGTTTAAAACATTGAAGTATTTTTAGGTGTATCCTTAATAAAATATGATAACAGGCCATTGGGAGGGGGGGTACTGCTGTCAGCTCAACAGGGCACTCCATTTTGAGTAATATGGTCTATTCTAAGTGACATCTTTTGAAAAGGATATTTCAAATTCAAGAATATTGATCAGTGGAAATATGGGAGTTAGAAATTAGGTCATATGAAGAATGCTTGAGATTATGGAATATTTACTCTGGAGAAAAAGTCCTTGCTATTTTTTCTTTTTCTCTTTTAATTGAAGTATCACTGACACACAATGCTACATTATTTTCAGGTATACGATGTAGTGATTTAACAAGTCGATATACCTTAGGCAACTCTCACCACAAGGAAATGACTTGCTATTTTCAAATCCTGGAAGGGATGTTAGAGATTATATAAACTCAAAATATTTCTAGCAACAAGAAGCAGACTGGTTTACCAAACAACCAGTTCCATAGTGGAAACTAAGGAAGAAAAGAAAATGTTGAAGAGTTTTCAAAATCTGTGCTCACAACACCATGTTCTACCCATCAACTGGCAAGCATTATAAATATGATGCACAGGCTATTAAGAGCAGAGTAAGATCCATCCTCTTGGATACATTGGTGGTGAGAATGCAAATTGGTGGAACCTTAGTAAAAAGCAACTCAGATATAGGTGTTGAGAACCTTAGATATATTCATCATTTGGCCTTATAATTATCCATCTAAGAATCTATTTTAAGAAAATAAACAGGAACATTTGGTATACAGAGGCACTCATCAGAATATAGTTTCTACTAGCAAAATACTGGAAGCACTTTGAATGGCCCACAGTGAGTAGAAAGTAGAATAAATTGTAAAGACAGAGTGTTGAAGTGATGAGGAGCCAGACTGTATAGTCAGACCTACTGGATTAAGATTCCTCTCCTGCCATTTACTGGCTGTGTCAATGGGTGGGTTACTGAGGCTAGGTAATTCTTATCAACCCAGCTATGAATGGGATGATATACTGTTTACAGAGCCATGATGAAAATTACATATAATGTTGAATGGAAATTGTTTAGGCAGTGACTGGCACATAGTAAGCACTTAGGAACAATCATTATGATCATTATTGTATAGTAATTATGCCATTTATTAAATGTTTAGTAAATACTAGACATTTAACAATTATCTTTTTTTTAATCCTCATAGTAACTCTTAGATGTATGAATCATTAATATACTCATTGTACAGATGAGGAAACTGAGGAATAGAATGGCTAAGTAGCTTTCTCAAATTCATACACATGGTACATTAGAATATAAGATTGATATCTACACTCTAATCAATGAAATGATTAGTTTCCACAAAATGAAATACTTTGTGTGTCTCTTTGCATGTCGTATCCACACACATGTATGCAACTGAGATAAGGAAACTGAAGGACTCCATAAAAATCTGCTTTTTGTTCCTTTTCCTGCTTCTATTCTTGCTAGGACCTGCACCCCCACCCCACTTTATACATGCTTCAGAACACAAATAGTGTATGTTCTCTTTGTAAGGGACAAGAAGCTCATGATTTCTTTAGATAACATTTAAGGAAGGACCTTACAGGTGAGAATGACCAGAGGAAGCTATTATATACACATTCCAGATCACAGGTCTGGACATATTGAAGCCAAGGTTCCTTGGCTCCAAGCAATAATACCTGGGCCCTGGTCTTTTTTCTAACTGGTTCCTGGATGCCTTAGAGGCCTGTACACTGGACCACAATTCTCAGTTAAAACCCCCAGACTCCAACGATGAGACTCTTACTCCTTTCCTTTCTGAGTCTCCCAGATGCTCCAAATGTAACTACTCTGTCCAGATCTTCAAGAAACTCTACTCTTACTTCCTACTGGCTCATGTTTGATTTCCATCCTTTTGAGAAGCCAAGGGCCCTACTGGGTCCCCAGGTCTAGCCCGTCAGCATCATAATCAGACCTACACGTTTGCATGACATTTAATTATGTATTACCAGTTTCAAAAAACAGAACACCAAATTGCATATGTAAGATTTACTACTTAAAATGCAAAAAAAAAAAAAAAAAAAGGGGGGGGCTGGAAATTGACATGGGTGCCTCTGTGTGATATTATAGGTGGATCTTATTTTTGATTCTGTAGACATTTCTGGGCTATGCTAACTTTTCAACTGAAATGAAAACACACGCCATTTTATATGGAGGAAAATTAAAGGAGAACAGGTATATAAATCAAAGTAATCCAAGAAAGATGTAAGGAGAATGGGTTTTCATAGATCAATCACCCTTCCTCTATTCTAGAAGTAGAGCAACTTCTTGAATTGCTGAATATCCTGAATTATCTTCTTTCTGTAAGCAACCAAAAATATAGGTTAAAATTAGAAAGCGATAGATTATAAACACTCACATGTGCCACAACTGGGGTGGGTGTAGGGAAGGCTGGGGTGGGCACTGGCTCTGGCTGGATAACTATTTCAGCTGGAATTCCTCCGTCTTCGTCCCCACGGGGTTGCTGGTGGGCACAACGACCAATGTCGGCATTTTTGAAGGACACAGGCTGTGCAAAGTCCATGGGGCTAACGGAATAGGATTAAAAGTAAATGCTTTTCATTAGTTTTTCATTGTCTTGCTTCCTTACCATTAAAGTTCCCCCCCCCCTTTTTTTTTAAATGTTTTATTATTTATTTCTAGGAGAGAGAGAGAGAGAGACAGCGTTTGCAGGGGAGGGTCAGAGAGAGAGGGAGTCACAGACTGAAACAGGCTCCAGGCTCTGAGCCGGCAGTCAGCACAGAGCCCGACGCGGGGCTCGAACCCATCAACCGCGAGATCATGACCTAAGCGAAAGTCGGGCGCTTAACCGACTAAGCCACCCAGGCGCCCCTCCTCCCCCTTTTAAAGGCCATCAGTGCTATTTTAAAAATCGAATGAGAAGTTCTTCATTGTTTCTTCACGGTACCTCTCCCCACCTGCCCCACTCCCAGTCCTGCCATGGTTTTGTGTAGTGTATATGCAACAGGAATCCTAATATACATATATGTAATATATATAATATAATATATAATACATATTTATTATATTATTTATTATAATATTATTATATTAAATATATATATAAATTAGCAGCAAGCAGAAGTACTTACACAGAGTTTATAACAAGGTTCCATACACAGCCTTCAAAAGGAGGAATATTTCTGAGTGGGGGCGGTTGAAATTCAGGTGGAGCACCCCCAACGAAAAGCTTTTTAACTTCAATTGCCTGTTCTAGTGTCAGATTTTGCATATGCCTTCTGTCTTCATCGACTTGAACGGTAAACATGCTGATAAAACATTTAAAATACACAGTATAAACCACAAAACATCCAGTAAAATTGGAAATCAAACTCTTTCCTGCTACTCCTCACCCCTTCCTCCAGTAGCTTTTAAGTGAGCCAGAATTTGATAATTAGGAACTCAACACTAAGCTAACAATATTTTTTCTCAGGCTCTGTCCCTCTGCTTCCCCCCTCCCCATTAGCTCTCCTGGAGAGTTGACAGAAAGAAGGCAATAGCGGTGCTGCAACATTAGCCTTGGCTTTGACAACACTGGCCCAAACACACAAGCCCATAGAGCTGAGGCTTCTGTACAGTGCCGTTATATCTAATCGTATAAGGCTCAGTGGGTTTAGCACAGCATGGGGTCACATTTTGTTTGGTTCTTTATTTCTTGGTTCGTGCTAGCTATTATCTTCTTGCTGGGGGACAAACTGCTCCTGAGAGTTTGGATTGCAGGACTCACCAGCAAACACTTACAGGGCATTTTATAAAGAACATAGCTGCTGGCTTTTGAATAGAAGAGGCAGGCAAGAACATCATGCTAATTGTTCCTTGCCATGATTTTCCTTAGTGACTGTTTCATTAATTTCCCTAATTTGCTTATGAGAGATAACTCACACATTACTAATTGAGAACCTCATGCTACTTATTCACAATCCTTGGATCTTAGGGCAAAGAATCAAAGGAGACAAAAAGTCCTGAGGATGACAGTGACCAAAGGCATTTCGTCTTTTGTTCTAGATACAAGTTTTGAATTTCAGTCCCAAACAGTCGACATGAGCTCTTCATGAGTATTAGTCATTAGCCTGAGGATCTTGAATGGATTACTGAAAACTTACTACATATCTGGGGAGAAAATCAAAGTACTTAGTTGGAAAACTCAGTCCTAAAAGGCCATCTTACTTGATTTCATAAAAAATAAAAACCACATGGGGAACTAGAAATAATAAACCAGGGCATAGACACTCTGCAATGGCCCTGAGCTATTGGTTCACTTTGAGACAGTTCAGATGTAAGAGAATGAAAAAAGAATGGATTTCATTGGTGCTCAAAATGTCATTGTTCAAGGGGTGTAGAGGGAGCAGGTTGGATTTATTTTCATAGGAAACAGGGGGAAATGACATATTGGTTTTTTACCAGACTCTGGAAGAGTGTGTTGGCAAAAATCAGGAGGTTCAACATTATTGCTAAGAATGTTAGTGTTTTATGAGACTTAGAAAAGCACTCACTTCTGGGCATGTGTGACTCACTGAGAAGTCCCCTTCCACACACACCTTTTCTTTTTCCTTTTTGCTAAAAGCAACCTCTTACTAACATGACATAGCAATGCTCCTAAGAATTTTAATGAGGGGTTTAAGCCACTATTAAAGATTGTCCAAGGAGAGCAAATCTCTGCTCTTGATTAGAATTTTTAAAGAGCCAGGGGCCCTCACATTTCTGATGTAGACTATCTAATCTGGTTCTGTCTCCACGACCATTATAGTGGTCCTTTCTTAGTAGATCGCAGGGTAGAGATATAATATGCACATGAGCTTTCAGGAGGAACAGATTGTAATTAGGTATTAGTGTGGAAGTTTACTGTGTGACCTGGGCCAGTTATTTAATCTTGCTCAATCTCATTTCATTCATTTATGAAATGAGGATAAAAATACCTACTTTAAACCATGGAAAACATTAATTAAGGAATTGCACTGAAGCTGTATTACTTAGCTTCTAGCGTTGCTAGAAGACTATGGCTAAATCCTGCTTGTATTTTACATTCTAGGAGCATCAAATCTAGATTATTTATTTAGCTCTTTTTTAGAGGGGAACATTACCAATATGTCCACTAGGATTCTGGTTTATTTCCCGTTTTTTAAGTATTTATTCAATAACTCTTTACTAGGACCTACAATGTGCAAAAAGCACTATAATAAACAATGCTATTCATATTTTATGATAAGTTATCTGTATGTTCTTACAAGCTTAACAGTTGATTCTTGGAGTTTCATAATTAAATATTATATTACTTACATTTTGTTTCTTGTTTGTTTGGAGTATTGGTGTAAGGTTTTGTTTTCAAATGACCACCAAATGGGTTATAGAAGATACTAAGAGTAGTGCCCTGACATTTGTAATCTACATGAAAAACAAAATCTGCAATTTACTTGGAACATATTTTGGGTGATAAGAAATAATTGGGTTGTAGTGTCCAAATCACGATCCCATTCTGGAAATCAGATTATTCCTGAAGTATCTGGTCTAACTTTTGTGGCCTTCAGCCCAGTTCTGTACCTGTATTGAATAATGCTCTCACAAAGGTGAAAACTACTTGCTTATGCATCTACTCCAGGCTCTTGGGGCTTTACAAGAACTGCTGGCCACATAAGTTGGGGTCCAAGAGAAGGTTCAGAAGGCAAAACACAGAAGGCACGGATCTCTGGAGTACCATGGAATTAGAAACCAAAGTAACTCAAATGGGATTTTTGCAGAGGGAGTAGAAAAGGCGAGAGAGTGAAGGAGGAAGAATAGAGAGAGGGGGAGGAGAGAGAACAGGGCAAGGACAATCTTGAAAAGTTTGCCTCTCAGTTTGGTAAAAATCAATGATTTTGTGAGGTGGTATGAAAGTTACTATTTTATCCAGGGCTTTAAGAAAAGAAGCGATAACTGACGTTGATGATGTGAATAGTGTTGGGAGAAAGCAAGTGTTTCCAAATTAATCAATATGAAGTAATACAATCTTTGAGGCCATAAAAAAGAGTAAAAATAAATAGTCGACAAGCACAGGTAGAGGTGTGAAAATTTTATACATCTGGGTTTAAAATCCTGGCTCTGTTATTTACTAGTTACGTGATTTTGGGCAAGTTAGTTAATACTTCTTCATCTGTGATGAAAGGGTATTAATGAAAATCTCATATACGTTTAGAATGATCAAAGGAAATAATCTGTGTCTAGTATTTGACACAGAGCATGTCATAGAACAAGTCTGAAGCATTGAAGAATGTTTCTGGGTGAAGTTCTTAGCATCATTAGCGATCTCTGGTTAATCAGTTAATTGAAGCACTTGCTTAAAGGATATGCGATGCTTATGTTTTGACCTTAGAGCGCTGAATGAGACATTATGGTAGAAGATGTGTTCTTGCTTTGCCGCCGAGTTCAGTGACTACCCACTAATATGTTCAATACATTATCCTTTAATTAACAGCGAATGGCAAAACTGTTTGTTTATATGGCCAATTAACCGAATGACCAGTTTCCAGTGATGTACTGTACACCGAACTTAATCAAATAAAGGTTGGATTAATGGCCAACAGCTGTGAAGTTGGCATAATAAAATGCCCTTCTTGAAGAGACACCTGTTAAAAGGACACCTTAGTGTAAGATCGTAATGCACTTGGGGACATAAGAATCCTTTCTGTACAGAATAACATATCCTGGGGGATTTTTTCTTGTCAACTGTATTTCTCAAGTCTGCACTTGTTTATTGAAAATTTTTTTAATGTTTAAAGGTGTTACAAAATCCTTCTCACAATGAGAAGGACTAGCATTTGGCAAACAACCTGAAATCTGGTCTAGAAGACATGTGAAATAGTATTTCAGAGCGGTCCTTAAGATTCAAATGAGGAAATTCAGTTTGCATTCCTCCTCAGAGATCATGACTGCAATATCTGGTTATTAGGTTAGTAAAAGTTCCTAGTTCATCTGCATATTGATTCCTCATTTGTCTGAATCATGGTTTCTAAACATCTCAGTTAGTAGATATTCTGCAAGAATGCTTAGTATCAATTTAGTCACAAACTAATGCTCTAGGTAATAAAAGAAAATAAGCCAAGGAACGCTTTATCATTTACTTAGAAGATAAGACATTCTTATTGTATACCTAAACTGTTATCCACACAAAAGGATAATTAGAAAATCTAGGTCTGTATAGAAGAGCATCTGTTCACTTGAACTCTTGTTAGACCTCCATACTGTTGTTGTATTTAAAAATATTCTCAGGGCGCCTGGGTGGCTTAGTCGGTTAAGCGTCCGACTTTAACTTAGGTCATGATCTTACGGTTCGTGGGTTCGAGCCCCGCGTCAGGCTCTGTGCTGACTGCCAGTTCAGAGCCTGGAGCCTGTTTCAGAGTCTGTGATTCCCTCTCTCTCTCTGACCCTCCCCTGCTCACGCTGTCTCTCTCTCTCTCTCTCTCTCCTAGAAATAAATAAAAAATATTTAAAAAAATAAAAAATAAATAAATAAAAAATTCTCTGTGTCTTGAGGTTTTCTCACATTCCATTTCCAGTTCTTTTCTGTTTTCAGTCTAATTAAATGGCTTGCTGGTTTGGAGGTTGGAAGTGTCTAGGCTTCTGTTTCCTTTTTTTCTAATTGTCCTTCTAAACGGATTAGCAGAGTTGTCATACAACATGTTGATGAAAGCTACAGACGACTTTCCAATAAAGGAAATATCAAGTGCCGCAGCATTCTGGAGAAATGAAAGATTGGTTTATAACACTATTACTGCCAATTTTGTGACTCAGGGCTGGGAAGCAAGGGCTCTCATGGTTCCTTTGAGAGGCAGCCTCCGCACACTGATGGCTGGACAGCAGCCTCTTCCCTTCTCTCCTTCAGCTCTGTTCCCTCATGAAGCCACTCCGCGGGGGCCCTGTGCACGTTGCATGGGGACAGGAGTGACGCATGCACTTAGCAGTTCTCAGTAGGTCCTGCAGCTGCTGCACACTCCGGATCTGTGACAGGTTTCTAAGCAGCTGCCATAACTGCTTTGGAACCTGAATGAAATAGCAGCTGCCAAAGGCTGCTGGTTCCGGCTGAGCTATTCTGTGTGTTTCACTATGCGCATACCTTATTTGAGAAGAGAATATTTGAGAGGTGCGGAGGGAGGGATTTTTCTTATCTATAGCTTCAGAAGATGTATTTGGTTTTTCCAAAGCTGGAGCGGAGAACTGCACAGCATAAAAATGCTAAGAGAATTCCTAGGGGCCAAGGTAAATGAGGTTCCTGAGGTATGAAATGTAAAGAAGATGGAATTAAGCGACTTGATAGTTTCACAATGCATTGTACGACCACACATACAAAGGTCCAGTAAGAGGCTAATGTGAACCAAGGCGTTTATGTTAGTTACAAGTTCTCTAAGGCTATTGTTACCCTTTAGTCCTCTCAACATGAACAGAATGTTCTCTCCCGTCGTGAAACGGACTCGGCTCTGGTTTGATGACAATTTTCCGCATTGTCCGTGTCCCCATGGAGAGATGCACTTCCAGACGGCCCTTGTTTAGGAATATCGCATAATAGGCCTGCAATAGCAAGGGGTTGTCAAAGATTAAAGGGAGATCTCAACTATGACAGTGTTAAAGCTTCCGTGACACATCTCAGATTCATTGGCTCTGATTTCTTACCTGAGAATTTGAGACTCAACATTTTCTTACAGTATTTTAAGTGGCTGGCAATAGCTTTTTAATCATTGGCCACTTTTGCTTGTTAGATGATGTGGAAAGCAGATGTACAGGAGTCTCTGCAAACCAAATTTGCCATGCTGAAGGTAACAGCTGTGTTTGCGCTGGGTCTCTAACTCACAAAACCCGTCAGGAAATAAAGGGTGTCAATCCCTCTCCCTCATATTCACAAGTGGACAGCTAGCTTCTGGAAATCAGATCTGACTCCCAATCTTGTGGCATTTTGAGTGTTTAGGCTTCAATTTGTTCTCTGAGCTGCTCGAATAGATTGCTATCACCAACACGTAACTTGTCTCCCACACTTAGAAAGAAGGAAGACAACTTTTCATCCACAAACATGACTGCTTTCTTCTTGCTACTGTTACTATAGCAACCAGTGTGGTTTTGAGATCGGATTATGAACCCCAGGGAGTTTGAATGCATTTCTTGTCCCCAAAGCTAATACTACGAGTGCTCCCTTTCTTGTAGAGTGTGAGGGCACCATGATCACTCAGTCCACCGTGAGTCACCTGCAGTGGTGAAGAGGGTGTCAATCATCTGCCATGATGCTTTCAATGATTTACTAAATTGTCTAGGCAGCTGCATGTCCCAAGCACAATGTCCAGAGGACCTGGACTTGTGCTCACCATCCATCAAAGAGGCAACTACAAACTATTCACTCAATTAAAATTTTCTCAGCTGAATGACTGTTTGATGTCTCAAACTCCTTTAGCAGAACAGAATCACAAATAACCCTATGGCATCAAAACGTTAGCTTTGGAAAATAAAATACGTCAGGGTAATCAGCAGTGGTTCTACAATAGAGGTAGACTATTTAACATCGTTTCCTCTTTCAAATAGCACTTACTATGAGACTTAAAAAATGAATAGCCATTATCATTAAAATGTTGAAACATTAACATATTATTTCCAATTGACTTTGTAGTATAGTACTTAATGTGTTCTCATTTTAATTCTTTTAACGGGCACATGTTCTATTTTAGGAGCTATCCTGAAAGCTGGTGGTTCAAGTCCATTTATTTAGTCTTGAAGAGGAGAAATTTGGAGTCAGTAGGTGGTGCTTAATTATCTGACAATGACTTGGGAAACACCTATTCTGTAGTGAAAATCTACTTCAGAAATGTCTGATCTGGTCCCCTTATTGTAACCAGTTTATCATTTATAACAGTAGGAAAGAAATTTTATTTTTCAGGATTAAAAGATAAGGAATTTAAGAGGAGATTTATATCAGTGCTTATTATGTGCTATAAGAAATGAGAGAAAATAACACCTTTTCCTCCCTCTATTCTTTAAGAAATATTTTTATTATGACAATTTGATACATTAATCACAACGTAAGAGACATATGTGAAAACAATGGAGCTATCTATGCTCACAACTGTACAATTAAATAGATACCTGTAAATCTACACCCAAGTTAAGAAACAATATGATTGTATCTTCAGTGAGTTTCCTCCCAACACCATCCCCCAGGTCCACTATCTTAGAGGTAACCCTAACATGGAATTTATGTTTATTATTCCCTTGTTTTTTAAAAATTGTCTTTGAAAATTCACATGTATATCTGTAAACAATATGCTATATAGTGTTACCTTTTTTATGTGTATTTTATTTATTTTTCTTGTGTGTGGGGGGGCAAGAGGCAGAGAGAGGGGGACAGAGGATCTGAAGCATCAGCTTTGCACCGACAGCACGGATTTCGATGCGGTACTCAAACTCAAGAACTGTGAGATCATGACCTGAGCTGAAGCAGGATGCTTACTGACTCAGCCACCCAGGTGCCCCACTTTTTTTTTAAGATTTTATTTTTAAGTTATCTCTAGAGTTGGAGCTCTCACTTACAATCTCAAGATCAAGAGTTGCACACTCTACCAACTGAGCCAGTCAGTCACCTCTGTTTAGTGTTGCTTATATTAGAAATCTATAAAAATGACATCATACAGTATGTAGTACATTTTTTCACTTCTCTTCAGTTTCTAATATTCATCTATTTTATTATGTTGAGGAATAGGTATTAAATGTCACCAACTGATTTCTCTGCATCTATTGAGATGATTATATAATTTTTAGATTTTGTGATATCAAACTACTCTAGTATTCCTGAGATAACGAAAGTTACTCATCTTTAAATTTATTTAAATATAAATTTATTTTGTTTGCTCTTTATTTTTCTTGGGGAGAAGAATAAGATTTATTATATAGTATGTTGGATTACATGGGTTTGAACTATGTGGATCCACTTATATGCAGATTTTTGTAAATAAATACAATACGGTATTATACATGTATTTCTCTTCCTCTTGTTAATAATGTTTCTTTTTTCTAGCTTACTTTCAGAATATAGCGTATATTCTGCGTATAATATGTGTATATAGCGTATAATACAAATAATATACAATATGTGTTAATCAACTGATTATGTTATGGGTAAGGCTTCTGGCCAATAGTAGGCTATTTGTAGTTAAGCTTTTGGGGAGTCAAGAGTTATATGTGGATTTTTGACTATGTGGAGGGGCTGTAGTGTCTCTACTTCCCATTTTGTTCAAGGGTCCACCATATTACTGTTACTCAATTTTAAGTGAGAAAAGTCATTTTAAAAACAGATAAGATCACAAACAACATAACCTGGTTTGTAAGGATGCATGAATATTTAGGGACATATTTGTAAAGCATTTCATTCTTTGGTAATGGCAGACTAGGTAATTGCTATGAACTCTTTCACTAAGAAAAACAAGATTACATGGAAAAAATATATATTTAAAACCATAAAATTGAAAGTCCTGGAGGAATGTCAAGGCAGTAAAGACTTATCGTGCCTAAGAGACAGCGTTTAACAGAATCAAATGGCTATGGGCTATGAAAACTGAAGTTCACAACTTATGATGCAGACACTATGTAGGCTTTATGTTCATGTCATGAGTGAAACTGAGCATATACTACTGTCCATGTGAGTGCTGGTTGTGCTCTATTAGCCTTCTCTCTCCCAGGTCCATTCTCTGCCTTCTCTGTGTCCAGAGAGGGTAGAGTGGGTCAGGCTTCAATAGACTGCATCATGTTGGCTAATGAAACTGGGAAATTGATCCTAGAAGGAACTTAAATTTGATTTTAAGGGACCCTAGCTGTATATATCTACAGATATCCAGATAAGGAATTGGATTACGAGACAAGAGAATATGATTGTAATTAGATTGTATTTTAAGCTTTCTCTCTTCAAATATGCATATGCTAAAACCATAAGAAATACAGGTGCAAATGTAAGTGTGACTGCACCTAGGGCTGACCAACAAGGAAAACCATAGTGGAGATAACTGTCCTAAGAAAGATGATAGGAGAAATAAATGATGCAAATCTAAATGTATAAGGACAATTTATAGGGGTTCCTGAGTCACTTAGTTGGTTAAGTGTCTGACTTTGGCCCAAGTCTTGGTATCATGGTTCATGACAAGCCCCACTCTGGGCTCTGTGTTGACAGCTCAGAGCCTGAAGCCTGCTTTGGATTCTGAGTCTTCCTTTCTCTCTGCCCCTCTCCTGCTCATGCTCTGTGTCTCAAAAATAAATAAATGTTAAACATTTTTAAATAATTAAAAATCAAATAAAGACAATTCCAAAACCGCAATGTCTCACCAGTCTTCTTATAAAATAACTGTTTTACGTAAGAACTAGGGAAAATGCATCATTAACTAGGTTGAAGTTACCTGTCCAGTTTGCCTTCGTTTCCTACGAGGTTGAGCTGGTGTCCCTCCACTTCCCAAGAGAATGATCCCAGACTCATTTTTGGTACTGAAGGACAGGTTGATTTCTGTGCCTACATCAATCGGCACAGGGGACAGCTCTACGAAACCAGGCTTGGGGAAGCTGACTGTGTAAACATTCTGTGGGTAAAAGGAAAAAAGAGAAGAAAATATCAGAAAAAAATTTAAATTAATATCTCCATCTGACTCTCCTCCAAGCATTCAGTGGCACCATGAAATACACTGTTTGAGAAAGCATGAAACTCAGAGTTACATGGAAAGCTTAGAAGCAACTGAAGAAACACTATTCCCAGGCATGACAGAACTTTCTAAGCAGTTTGGGTTTAAATAAAAATCCTGGCATCTGTTTTTATTTGAGCACTTTTGATTTAACATACAGATGATTATCATTGACCGATAATATTTTCTTTTGGTTTAGTTCTGTATTGCTAAATCTCTGTTGAAAACAGTCTCAAAATCCCTTTAATACCCTTTATCAGCTGTTTGTTTTATAGATGAGTATGACCATGGTCTATATCTGCATTTTCCTTAGTGATAACCCCAAGGTAGGATGTCCAATGCTATCAAATGTATAAATACATTCCAGAAAGTTTTAAAAAATCAGGTAAAACCTGAACACCATTTTGTAGTCCACTTTACTTCTCAAAATGAAAATAGTACCATTGTCCTTAATAATAAAATTAAAGCAGTGACATATCAGGTAGTCACAAAGTGTAAAAGAGAGAAAGCAAAACTCACCTGTATCTCAAAGCTGATCAGAAGCATAGAGTGTTTATCATTCATTGATTCATTCATTCATGTGTTCATCATGCATGCATTCATTTGTTTATTTTCCACAACCTTGCTCTCCTTCTCTCTCCTCCTCTCTATATTTACATTGAATCTTGATAGGCACATTCCTTTGTAAATTCTTTTTTAATTGATGTATGTGGGAGATACCTCTCTCAGGAGACATAGGTCTCATCATCGCTTTTAATGGCAGAAGGACATTCCATTGTATAAATGTGCTAGGATTTATTTAAGCAAGCCCATGTCATTGGGCATTTTGAGTGCTCATTTTAAAAGTTCTGGATTTTGCTGGAGTAAAAGCAAGGCATCCTCTAGCACAGGATATTTTCACTCACAGGGATTTAGGTCTAGGAAGGTGACATAAGTATTGTAAAATGTAACATCTATTTCATTTTCAATTTTCAAATCACAGACTTTTGGATAGTTCTGATAAAACTACTGTGCAGACTTTTCAATATTTATCCACACCACTTCTGCCTCATATTTCAGTCGTAAAATAATTTCTGGTGATGGAAAAGTGCCTTTACAGAATTATCATTTTCACATATACAGGCTATTCATTTTCTGGACAGTTTTCCATCCTTTATATATCTTCGGGATGTGGATGAGAGTAGCCTTTGGAAGATTAAAACTCTCAGTAAAACTTCCTTAGGGCTCCTGGGTGGCTCAGTTGGTTAGGCTTCTGACTTCAGCTCAGGTCAAGATCTCAAGGTTTGTGAGCTTGAGCCCCACATTGGGCTCTGTGCTCACAGCTCCAAGCATGGGGACTGCTTTGGATTCGGTGTCTCCCTCTCTCTCTATGACCCGTTCCTGCTCTGTCTCTGTCTCTCTCTCAAAAATAAACATTAAAATAATAATTAAAAAAACTTCCTTAAAGAAGTCTGCATAGATAATTAGAGTTTCAAGTCTGTATTTCACTCTTCCTTATTCCTGAGCTTCTCATGGTGGATATCAATGCCAATTCCAAATTGGAGCCTCTAACTATAAACCATGAAGACCCTGAAAGTTCTGGTCTCACAGATGGATTTCTTTTTTCTTTCTCCTATTCTTCCATCATTTTCCTGAATTCTGTAGTCATGCTTTAAAATAATTTTAGTTGGAGAAAGCAGCTAAAATGAATAGTAGTGTCATATCAAGGCAATCAAAAATTTTTAAGTATGATATAGTTAACATTAAAAAAAAAGCAAACTCATTACTTTCAGAAGTCCCATAAACTTCTTACTAATATTTCCTAATGACTGTTGACTCTTGCTTAAAGATATTTTAAGAGAGCAGAGCTGGATCTGTTTTTCTCTCTCCTGTGAGTTGGTCCCTGTTGGAGAGTCAGGGCAGAGTAGTTAACTGGAACTAGGGGGCAGCTTTGGCTACAAAGAAAAGATATCAAAGGACTTTGCAGTCCTGGCAAAGATGGTCTTTGTAGATGGTTCCTAGTCTGTGCCATTTTCAATGAAAAGCAGGCTTGACTTTCAAGCTGTAGACAAGATGCTGTGTACTAATGATTATGGCATAAACAATTACTTGTTATTTGTGTAAATTCCTAGTACATTCCCGAAAAAAATTAAAGACTGATAATAACGTTATATATAACGTATAGAGATAAAATAAATCTGAAATAGATAACAAAAATGAGGAAAAGGGAAAATTACTATTGGAAAAGGAGAGAGAATCAGAAAAGAGATTAATAATAAAAATAGATGTTATGAAGTATGATACATCTGGGAAATAGATTCACAATTTGGGGTCATCATACCATTTCCTGCATTTATGTGATTATGGTAATTTGTAGAAGGGCTTAAATCTTGCTTTGTTATTTATGCATAGCTAAGACTAGGGTCGGTAAGAATTTAAAGTATATTAATGAGGGACTGCTCCCTGTAAGAGCACCCAAACTAAGTAAATTTAGTCAGATGTGAAAGTATTTAGGAAGCCATTAAAAAAAAACTAACCTCCAGTGAACATCCTTTGGTAACGCCAACATAGTCAGGGCTACTGAGTATATTATATGGAGTTCTTGAAATTTCAATATCTTTGAGGCAGCCAGAATATTTCTTCAAATTTACTTCTGGTCTGTTGAAGAGTTACATGGAAAACAAAAGCAACATCGTTAGGGACATGGTAGTATGGTGTTTGTGACTACCGGACACAGCCATATGGAGCAAACTGACACATGGGCAGGTGTGTGTTCCTCAAATTGTGCACACGTGCACACATGTATCCAGCAAATCATGCTTCCCCTATCCACTGGCTGGATGAACTGGATGTTACCCCTATCCTGCAGAAAGAACCTTTATGTAGTCCTTTCTCTCTTTTAAAAATAATCTCACTCACATCGTTTGAATTCACTATACAGGAATTACTGATTTCTTAAGTGCTTCATATGTGTAATAAAATGGTTTTCTTTTTTTTGTAACAAAGAGTAGAAAATTGAGTAGGCAGCATAATAAAACTATGAACCAGAAAAGTAAGAAAAACTGGCTAAAAACATAGGGAAACATTTATTTTGAAATTTTTTTGTCACTGAGACTTTTTGGGGGAGAGAGGGAGCAATTGAAGTTTAAGATTATATTATATTTCTCTTTAAATTTTTAACTAAAATAAAGCCTCAGAAACATTCTTTTGGAATATATAGTCTAAAAAAATACTTAAACATTGGATTTACAGATTGACCCCAAAGTCCTTATTTTATAATGGAGCAATAACAAAATAAAACAACCAAAAGCACAAAATCCATTTTCCCTAAGGCTGAAAATGGCATCTATACCCAAATAACACCTGCATGTTTACTTTTTATTCATTATTGTTTAGAAAACAACAAAGATGCTAGCACACATTAAGTGCTCAATGGGCAGCAGCTAGTAGGAAGTCAGTGATGATCCTTCTTTATTGACTTGATAGCAGCACTGGCCGATGGAACTTTCTGTGATGATGGAAATATTCTGCATTATCCAAATCAGTAGTTTCTGGTCACATGTGGCTGCTGGCCCTTGAAATGAAGCTTATGCCAATGAGAAACTGGACATTGTTATTTAATTTTATTTACTTTAAAGTTAAGTAGTCACTGTGGCTAATGGCTACCATATTGAATAATACAGGTCTGTCGGGATAAAATATAATAATACTTTTTTTTGGTGTTAATAAGTATCTGTAAAACCTACCCAGTCAACACCAAAATATTATCAGGATAATGACTAATTCTCTCATGGTTCCATGATGCCAGGATTCCTTTTTTTTTTTTTTTTTGCCTCAATAAAAAACATAGGGCATGAGGAAAAACAGGTGGGAAAGAAAATCAGACCCTGGCATGTGTATCACGTGATCTGTGTCCTGCCACGTATTTGTTCTGTCTTTTTCTCTCTCTGGAACTACTTCATCTTCTTTGATCATTTCTCCTTATTCCCAAGGTCTTCTGTTCAGTCAATTGGTTATTATGAAGAACATGCCCAACCAGAAGGTAAAGATCTTGTTTATATTCTCACTTATAAAGTAAGAGGAATGAGTGAATTTTATTCCCAGTGTTCATTTGGTTCCATATTTTCTTTTAGAGGGTGACTACTCTTCCACAAATTTTTCAGAGGTCCTATTAATAAAGTAAGTCTCTTCTACAAGTTATACAGTTCACTGTTTCGTGGATATACAATGAACTATTTCAAAACATGATGATTTACTAGGCTCAATGCTATGAAAAGAACGGGAGATAAGCAATCACATGTGATCAGACTCCTAATGGTAACCACAGGCGTCTTCCTCTGTTTGCTTCAAAGGCAGCATTGCAAAGCTATATAGTGTCACTCCAGAGTTTTCTATATCTCCATTGAAAGCCAGCCTTAGCCTTTTAGCCATCCCAGCAAACAGCATGACTAGGCTCATAACTATATTGTGATAAAACAACTTGGATTATTTTTTTTTTGCATATACTTTCATTTCTATATATTCTAGTTCCTGGTATTAGAAGTCTAGACTTTGCTTTAAAAATGTCTTGGCTAAGTTCGGCCATATTATCTCCTTTCCAGAAATACGGCCTAGTTAGGCTCTGAAATATCAAAATACCAGGCTCTAGCCAGGGTGTGCCAGGCCTGCACATCTCTGGGCTTTGATTAGCTACTTACGGAGGCCTGCTGCTCATAGCTTGCATGCTAATGTCTTTCTGCAAACAGGAATTAAAAGGCTCCTGGGAAGCTAGGGGGACCATCCAAAAACTTCTTCACCGTTAAGGCAAATACTTGTTTAAAATATATTATTTCCAGAGATTCCTTTTATCTGGCTTCATAGCTAATTCTAAATAAACATGACAATAAAGAAGCAGCTTTGCAAAGAGGTGCAAGGGCCCGGTAAACATTTGCATATTTGCAGGCTTGCAGAAAGCAGCGAGGCAGTGGTGAGCATCTGGAACACAGGCTGATTGCTCAGCAGACAGTATGGTACTAGACAGATGGGAGTCCAGGGTTCAACCCAACAGACCGCTCCGCTCTGCTCTCCAAGAGCTACATTGTCCGGGTCAACTGGACCAGCCGCCCTTTGTATGTGTGCTCCTGCGCATGTGCACCAGAGGGCACTGTGCGAGGCAGTTCAAAAAAGAAGCAGAGCAAATCTGTCCTCTTGGTTGGTGAAACTAATGAAATTGCAGCCGCGGGTGAGCAGCAGCATCTCTGTAAGTAAAGGGCAGCACGAGAACCCTCAGAATGCATTACTTGCTCATGAAATGTCCTATGAATAAAGCTGCATAGGTATTGCTCTGCTTCTGCACCACTGCTGTATCTAAGAAGCCACATTTACCCAACCCATGCACTTGAAGAAGGCATGCATAATTTAAGTTTTACCTTGCTTTCATACTAGGTCAAAGGGAAGAGAAAAAAAAAAAACACACCATGATTTACTTAAAATTGCATTTTCATTTAGTAAAACAATTAACTTTAATCATAAGTCTTTTTAAAATGTATCACACAGCGATCTTAAAAAGAAGGCAATGTGAAAAACCAACAGAACAGAAAACAGACATATGCTCTTGGCCACCGTAAAATTAGGGTCCAAAGATGACCATTTTCCACATTATTCTATGGGAAATTTTTCCTTTGAAGTATACATTTAAAATACGAATTTTAATCAATCTTATGAATGGGAAAATGCACAAATGTTGCTATGCTGTAGTATTCATGAGTTGTAGATAAATATTGCCTCTCAATGAGCTTGAATTTAATGTATGTAAAAATAATTTATGTTTACTTCATCTTTTGAATTTTACCATATTAAGATCCTGTCTGTGGGCAAAATAACAGCAAACGAAGAATGCACGGCTCCTTGATTAGCCACAGATATATGTGTAAAGATTGTACTGGGATGATGTGCCTTCCCATAGAAATATCATAATTATAAAATGCTGTACTGTGCGAGTAAAAACATTTTGATACAGATTTATTAAATATGTAGTCTGAAAACTAATACATAAACCTATCTCAATATAGCTAACATATATACCTTTGCAGATAATTCCTAAAATCACTTTATAGTAATTAAAACCAAGTCATCTCTAGGGTATATAAAGCTATATCTTGATAGCCTTATTTTGGCTATAACTAATTCACTCATAGGAAATTTAGTTAATGATCTTTCAAAATAAATCTTAGACTCAAGCAACTATTAGATCTGCACTTATACGATGTCTGGCACATAGTAGATTCTCAGGGAACACTGTTGACAATAAACAGATTTTTGAATAATCACTATGTCACAATCCAAATGGATGTGATCTGCAATTATTTTTCTAACCAGCCACTGTAAGTCTACATTCCTAACACAAGTACATTATAGCCAGGTTATTTGCATCATGAAGCTTATGAATTTACTCCCTTGAAAGGCTGGTAATTAGTTGCCTGGTCCATGAGTTTAGGCACAGGGAGAAGACTAAAACTCAGTCTGTAGGCTAGCTATCATAAAATGAAATTGAAATTGCACTGCTCTATTAGGAAATACAAAAACAACCGACTACTATATTTCGCAGTTCTGAGAATCCCTCCAATCATAGTGTGTCTTTTAAGAGAAGGAACACCAAGGGTGCCTGGGTGGCTCAGTCGGTTAAGTGTCTGATGCTTAGTTTTGGCTCAGGTCATGATCTCATAGTTCCTGAGTTCAAACCCCACATCAGGCTCTGCACAGTGTCAGTGCAGAGCCTGCTTGGGATTCTCTCTCTCTCTCTCTCTCTCGCTCTCTCTCTCCTTTTTTCTCTGCCCCTCCCCCACTCAAGCTGTCTCTGTCTCTCTCAAAAATAAACTTAAAATAAGAGAAGAAACACTGAGACAGGACCTTTATAACCATTAAAACCTAACAAGCTAACTAAACAAAACAAAAATTAAAAACGTGGTAGTCTGTATTTGTAGTAAAGTCTTATGGTTTAACCAAAATCAATTCATTCCATTCTAATTAAACTCAACTAACATTTATTGAGCACCAAGTGCTTTAGAATGCTTATTTCTTATGAGATGTTTTACAACAAGCAGTAAATTAATTAAATGCCACATGAAATATTTCCTGAGATTTTTTAGTTTCTTGCATTTATTTTTTGAACTAAACTATGAGTTAATTATATCTCTCCATTCTGCTATCTAGAAAACATATGTGAAATTTTAAAAAAAATGTTGGTATGAGAATAGCTAATATAGCTTTAGCATTAAGGCATATGGGAAAGCCCCAACACAGCATTAGTATGCTAATGCTTAGCAACAAAATAGGTTATACTCACAGTATTCTGGAACACTGACTGATTTTTCAAACACTAAGCAATGTCAGTGTGCCATTATCTCCAGTGAATGTGCGAGAAGAGGAATTACAAGATGTACATTCAACTCTAGCTTCCACCTTTAATTACTTTTACAATTCTTTTCTTCAGGTGGATATGAGGGAAATAGTGATTTCCATCCATCTCTTCAACAAAGATATCAAATTAATCCTTGGGTGTCTAAATCCTGGTGTTGTTCTAACATGTAACATGTTTTTTTTTTTTTAATTAAACCTTTCTGCAACTAAAGGTTATGTGACATTCCTGTTGTAATTAAACTTCAGAACTCCAGTGAGCAGAGTGGCCATTTAATTAAAACTTAATCCGTAGCTCTAAATATACACTAAATTACCTCAAGTTTCTCAGTGTTGGAAGACCGCCAAAATATATTTTGTCATCTGCTTTCAAGTCAAGACCAAAGTTGTTTCCAGAAGATGAAGTTGCTAGGTTCTCCTCCTGGTTAGTATCTATATCTACAATTGATATGTTGGCTGTAAAGGAGAGAAAACATTTTACTTGAGCAAGACCAACCACATCTGTATTATCACTGTTACTTCAAGATAAATTTACTTTAATTTCCAAATTAACATTGGCTTTTCCTAAACATTCAAACCACATATATCTATTGAATAATTGTGGAAACAACGACATCAATAAAGTATTAAACTATCCACAAAGAGGACTTAAGAAGAATAGCCTGACAAAGGAAGAAAGGCACTTCTCTGTTTAAATTGTTTTGTTTAGAAAGCAGATGGGAACCCCTTAATTCATTGATTTTCTCCCCTTCGTTCTGGGGAGTCAGGCTAGGCTCTTTCTGAATTATGTGCTTTCTCACCATAATATTTGCTTAGGCCTAGCTTTCAACGGCTTCATATATTTTGGACCCTTGATGCACACTGAGGCATCAGTTCATTGACAGGTTTGGCCTCTAAATCTTTGCCTGATATTGGATCTGAATTAGCAAGGGTCTGAAAATGGCTGTTTAAACCAGTGGATTATAAGAGCATTTCTAAATGTTTATTCTTTGGAATGCTGCTTTCATGGATCTTCCTGGATTAAGTAAATATGACAATCATTGGGTTAAGCAAAATTAAACATATATTTTAATTTCATGACTGCCCAGATCTCTTGATATGCTAGTATTCAGTGAAATGCTTCAACTGGTGGACACAGAGCAAGAAGTATTTCTCAAATGTACTTGACCGTGGGACATTATTATTTTCTCTTAACTCATAATGTTTAGAATAGTGTTTTTTTAAAAACAAAGAAAAATATCAAAACCTAAGATTCCATTGTAATCTTTAGCCCTTCCATTCCCAAAGGAAGTATCTTCAATAAAAATAAACATAATCGCCTTATTAAATAATGACAGGGATGCCTAGGTGGCTCAGTTGGTTAAGCCTCTGACTCTTGGTTTTGGCTCAGGTCATGGTCTCAGGGTTTGAGAGTTCGAGCCCTGCATCAGACTCTGCACGGACAGTACAAAGCTTGCTTGAGATTCTCTTTCTGCCTCACCTTCTCTCAAAATGAATAAATACAAATTTAAAAAATGACCAAAAAGTAAGATCAAACCTATTAATACCTCAAATCCTCAAAGTAGAGGCTTTTCAAACAGGCAATAACAAACACCCATTAAGTAACTGTCCTATTAAAAATAGTGAGTCAAAATATAAAAACTGAATTACTTTCACGTACCATATTAATTTTATACACATATAACTTTTTGATCAGACTGGTGGCTAAAATAAAAAAAAAAACATAAAACCATTTGCAAGACTTTCACGCACATTCCTTTCTATCCAGATCAGCAAAGGAATTTTCATATGGAGCTGTTGACTGGAACATGAAAATAGCCTCTTTCCGCAGATCGGGTGCATATTTTAATGGTGCCTGTGAAAATGAGATTCTCCCTCTCTATCACAGGCAAACCAGTGACTGGAGGTAGTTTTCCTCCTTATCCCTGAATGAATATATGCATTTTTTTAGAAACCAGTCTAAGAAAAACTGATTAAAGAGCAGAGATACATTGAATTGAAACTCACTGGCCCAAGTGTTAGCTCCAGCAGAGAGACATAGGGTGGCATAATATTACTGAGTTAACGGAAGAGCTTTACTCTCTCCTTCATGAGTGATAGCAATGAAGTAGGTTCGGCTATGAAATGCTAACACTTGCTTTCATTTCCCGCCCTATTTCTTTCCCTTACAGGATAGCTATTAACATAAAATTTCAGAGTTGATGAGTTCAGACATCATTTATGGGTAAGCAGGGAAATAAGGGTTTTATTAAATACTAGACAAAGAGTAGGGCCTTAGCAAGTATTTTATAATCAATGCTGAGTTGTCGTAAATGAATTGTTACTTTGGTAATTCCTTTCTTCTCTCAGTTCTGCTGAAATCTAAATGATTGTTCTCAATCTTGTATTGATGTCAGTGTACTTCTGGGATATGGCACACTTCTAATGGTGACTTAATGGCACACTTTTAATGGTGGTTCTAAGCGAGTCTCAAGGCAAGGTGGGGAATGCCATCTGAAAGAGTGTGTCTGAATTTCAAGTGCATTGATAAACTAGTTGAGAATAATTCACATAAACAACTAGTCTGGTCACTGAAAAGGAGGAGTGACCCACATTGCTGAAGGCTTGTTTGAATTCCAATCCCACTACTCTTTGGATTTCAGTCTTGCTCAGATCTGCAGGGACCTCCCTACATCCAAACTCAGTGGGGTCTGTTGGTCCTTATCTTAGTCTACATCTATGCAGTATTTGATGTTAACATTTCCTTCCTTCTAGGAAATTTCCTCTTTTGGCTTCCCTAATGCCAGCCTCTCCAGCTTCTTGTACCTTTCCAACCTCATTCTTGATGTCCTTCTTTGGGACATACTTGAATATTTCTGAAGTGTTATGTTCCCTAATGTGTCTTCATCTGGCCACTTCTTGGGTTTTAGTTATCCAGGTAACCTCCAGTTTATATTTACTTACTATATGTTGACAACTCAAAAATATATATCCCTGGGCGTGATTTTGCCTAGAAAGTCACATTCAAGAGGTGAGACATAGTCATCTATCTGCTCAATACTTCAACCTAAACACATTCCAAATCAAAATGACTATCTTTTTACCCCTAAATCCATATTATTTATTTGGCAGCACTATGATTCCCACCCAGTCTCCTAAATTAGAGACTCATCCTGACTGTCTCCTTGCTATTCCACATCTAATCAATCAACCAAGAGCCCTGCTAATTTCATCTCCTAAATAACTCTGATATTTACCTATTCTTTAAAAGTTTTACCAAACTGTAATTGACACAGTAGAAATTGCTTATGTTTGAAGTGTACATTTTAACAGGTTTTTAGATATGTATACATCCAGGAAACCATCACCACAGTAAAAAAAATATGAACAAATCCATCACCTCAAAAGTTCCCTTATGCCTCTTCCTTCCTGTGCCTCCCTACATAACCTCATTCTCCAGTAGCCTCTATCTGCTTTCTGTGACTATAGGTTCATTTGTGTTTTCTATGTATTTGACGTTTTATGCCTGCTTTCTTTCGCTAAGAATATTTGATATTCATCCATTTTGTGTGCAGATTAGTAGCTCATTATTTTTATTGCTAAATAGTATTCCATTGTGTGGGCTATAAAACAATTTGTGTATCTATTAACCTGTTAATAGATGTTTTAGTTTTCTGGTTTTAGAGTCCTACAAAGGAAGATGGTATGGACATTCTGGTAGAGGTGTTTGTATGGATATATTCTCCATGCGTCTTGGGTGGATACTCAGGAGTGGAATGGCTGGTTCATATAGTAGGTATATATTTAATCTATTAAGAAACTGCTATTTTCCAATGTGGCTGTACATTTTCCATCCTCTTCAGCAGTGTGTAGAACTCTAGTTGATCCATATTCTTGCCAGCGTTGGGTATGTTCAGTCTTTTTAACTATAGGCATTCTAATAACTGTATGGTGGTATCACACTGTGGATTTAGTTTGCATTTCTCAAATGTCAAATTCCACTGTAACTCTTATTTCAAGCCATCATGCATCTCCTGCCTGGACCATTATTGGACCTAATTGGTCATTCTGCCTTCAGTTTGATCTTCTGAAAATTTCTCTTCCTCCTTCCTCCTTTCTCTGATTACTTCTTTACAGCCACCTTTGTGGGGTCTGCCTTTATTATATTCCTTCAATACTGCTGTTTGCTTCAGGGCTTTGGATCCTCTCATTCTAGAAATGACTACTTGGTTCTTCTCATCCCTGTTGAGCTACAACTATTAATGACATGATAATGACTCAAGCTGCCCATCTCTCTGAGAGCTCTGCTAAGCCTCAGATACACATAACTGACTGCCTGCCAATTACACAGATTCCCTAGGCTGCTCAAGATATTAAGAGTACCTTTAATAAAGTATGTCCAAAATAGAAGTCAACATCTATTCTAGAAAACCTCCTCTTTTATTTATATCTGATAGCTTGGTAAATGGCACTAAAATATGTTTTGTTAATTAAGACAAAGAAAGGAATTATTCTTAATACCCCTTTTTAAAACATTTAGTCTCCATGTTGAGTATAAAGCTCCTTGATTTTAAAATGCCTGTTATCTTTCACATCTACTGTTTCCTCTCCACTCTAATGGTTTCATTCTACTCACTGTTCACCTGGTTTACTGCAGACTGCAGCAGCCCCTGAAATTGTTAGGTATCTAACCTCTAAAGTTTTCTAAGAAAGAGCACTTTACTAAAGCACAAATCTGATGGTGTCACATTCTTGATTAAAACTCTTAGTAGTAGGGCTGATGGGGCTGGAGGAGAGGGGAAGGGGGGTGATGGGCATGGAGGAGGGCACTTGTTGGGATGAGCACTGGGTTTATATAGAAACCAACTTGACAATAAACTATAAAAATTAAAAAAAAAAACCACCTCTTTGCAGTTCCCTACAGCTTTTAGGATAAAGTTGAAATTCATTAGCTCAGTTCATAAGGCCTTTTATGAACTGTATCTGTTATCTCTCTAGCCTCATTTGATGAAGTTTTTGGCAACATACATCCTGTTAGGCTATGGATTTACATGTAGCAATGATAGTGGCCACAGGCAGGCTACTCTAAGACGGGCCACTTTGCTATGAAGACTAGTTTGAGCTAAAAAGCAATCAAAATGAAGGCTCCTGGGTGACTCAGTTGGTTAAGCATTCGCCTCTTCAGTTGGACTCCAGTCATGATCTCACAGTTCGTGGAATCGAGCCTCATGTCATGTGCTGACAGCACAAAGCCTTCTTGGGATTCTCTCTTTGCCTCTTTCTCTCTGCCCCTCCCCTGCTGGTGCAGCCACACGCACTCTCTCTCTCTCACTCTCTCATTGTCTCTCAAAAATAAATAAATAAACATTTAATTTTTTTGAAAGCAATCAAAACCGTTCGCAGTGATGTGGGTGGAGCTACAGTATATTATGCTAAGTGAAATAAGTCAGAGAAAGACAAATACCGTATGATTTCACTCACATGTGGAATTTAAGAAACAAAGGAGTCAAGGAAAGAAACAGATAAACCATAAAACAGACTCTTATTAACTATAGAGAACTGAGGGTTACTAGAAGGGAGGTAGGAGGGGGAATCGGTTAAATATATGAGGGGTATTAAGGAGGGCACTTGTTGTGATGAGCACCGGGTATCGTATGTAAGTGATGAATCACTAAGTTCTGTACCTGAAACTAATATTGCACTGTATGTCAACTCGCTGGAATTTAAATAAAAACTTGGAGGAAAAAAGGGACCAAAACCCAGTAGATTCAGGAAAAGCCCTTTACTTCCTCCAATTGCCTAAAAGAATTTAGATAGAGGACCTGCTCCAGGAAGAGCACTGTCACCACAGGTAATGACATCACATTGTGAACCAGGTGTGGTTGACAGAAAGGACCCTAGCAAGGCCTGTGTGACCACAGTCTATGTGCCATTGTTTCTTTTTTTTTTTTTTTAATTTTTTTTTAATGTTTTTATTTATTTCTAGGAGAGAGAGAGAGAGACAGCATGAGCAGGGGAGGGCCAGAGAGAGAGGGAGTCACAGACTGAAACAGGCTTCAGGCTCTGAGCTGGCAGTCAGCACAGAGCCCGATGCGGGGCTTGAACCCACGAACTGCGAGATCATGACCTAAGCGAAAGTCGGACGCTTAACCGACTAAGCCACCCAGGTGCCCCATATGTGCCATTGTTTCTGAGTGGCTCAGCAAACATTTATTTAGGAGACATTTACCCCCTCCTTTTTTTTTTTTTAAATCTTCCTGTAAACTGCATTCCTCCCTTTGAAGTCCCAGACCCCCATCGTCTTCTTAGTTCAGAGTGACATACAGACCTCATTTTGCCTGTCTTTAGAATTTCCATGTGTGTGTGGATTCCCTAATGTACAAAATCAAATCAGATTTTGTCCTGTTAATCTGTCTCATGTCAATTTGATTCTTAGGTCCAGCCAGAAGGATCCAGAAAGGGATGGTAAATTCTTGTTCCTCGACATTAACTAAAGCATTTCCCAAAGTGTGTTCAGCAGAATGTTAGTCTTGCATGAATGGGAAGATTTCAGTGATTGTAGAAGTTTGGGAAATGTTGGATCAAACAGAGTTAAACACTCTTCTTAAGTACTATGCAGAGTCTCTCCCATGCAAATGTGCACTGTGCCTGTCATATGCTGGAACAATGTATACGGCAGTACTCTGACTTACATATGTGCAAACTGGGTTTTGTTCAAACTAAGGAGTTTCTCCAGGCCTCCACGTACCAAGAAGAGCAACTGGAAACTGATATATGATGATGTATGATGCTCTCTGAGGCCACTAGGTTCTCATATAACACTCACTTCTCTGAAGTGTCCAAAGGTGCTATCCATCCAGTAAAGTCCTCAAATCCTGCTTGTGGCTCAGGGCACTTGCCCTGAAAACTAACCTCTCTGTGTGACTTAAACATCTCTCTCCTGACATTCCTAGCCTACTATACCTTTTTTTTTTTTTTAAGTTTATTAATTTATTTTTGAGAGAGGGAGGGAGAACATGCAAGTGGGGGAGGGACAGAGAAAGAAAGAGAATCCAAACAGGTTCCTCATTGTCAACACAGAGCCTGACTCCAGGCTTGAACTCACAAGCCCTGAGATCATGACCTGAGCCAAAATCAAGAGTTGGATTCTTAACCAACTGAGCCACCAAGGCGCCTCCATCTACTATACCTATTCTGATGCAGGAATTAGCTTTTCTCACCATTGATTTACTTATCTATCTCCCCCATTAGACTACAAGCCTTGAAGACAAGGACTTTTGACAGACCTCACTCAGTTCTTATGCAGTACTCAGTGTGTGCTTGCTAGATATTTGTTAAACACAGGAATGAAGGATGGTGCAAAGTTAAACTGAAATTCTTATGAAATATCACATTGGCACAGTTAAAACTAATTAGGTTTAATTTTACAAACAGAAGTATCAAAGTTTCATTTGCAGATACTGGTAATGCTATAGTACACGGAATGAGGGGAATTATACTTACATAATGCTAGTGGAACACTAAGACCTAAGAGACTTGGATTTCTATCTTGCCTGTAAGGTCTTAAATATATATGTTTTTGACCACATGTAATTTTGAGGCTATGTTTCCCTTTCTCTAACACCAAAACAAAATACCTGCTCATATCAGCAAATGAAAAAAATGTTTAAAGAGTTCCTGAACTATAAAAATGTTACATTATTGTTGTCAATTATTTAAATGCACACATACAAATATTTGGCATTTTTAAAAAGTGAATAGCTGGTAGCTATGTCAACCACCCCTACAAATTGCACATGTACGCCACTCTAAAGGAAACATCTTGTAAAATAAGAAGGAAAGAAAAGCACACAAACCTACTACAAACCTTTTCAAACCTACTACAGGATATAATTTTACAAGTTGTAAGACAGTTTTATGTTTTCAAATTAAGCTCTCAGTTTTCAAAGAAAATGACAGAGAACCATTTGCCTCTTCAATCAGTCATGTGTAACCCAAGTCATCTATAATCTAAGAGAAAGAAATGACTGTATCCGATTTTCCCAGAATTTGTGAGTACTTAAAATTACAGGCAGGGTCTTATTCATGATTAGATACATGAGAACATTGGATAGCGTGATTAAGGCTCACGGTGCATTAGTACTATAGAAACTCACCTTGTTTCTGAATTCTTGACAGGGTGAAAGATTTCCATTTCCCATCATTATGGTTTTGATTGCTGACAACGGAAGCCATTCCTGATCCCAGATCATAGCTGACTTTTATGTGCCCGTCAGTGAGTTCTACACTCATGAAATCTTTCTATTAATAAGTAAAAATATACCAGTGATTAGATACACAGAGAAATATGAGTATCCACTTTCTTTGTGGGGTTTACAATAGGGCCTTATGGCTAAGTGCCTAAATGTGTTGATCTGTAGGTGACATCCACTTTGGAAATGGAATTGGTATTAGTGCTTTGTAAATGTTGGCGGGTGTGATTTTATGGCACCAATGGTCACGACCAATTACTAGGGCATATCCTTTTATGACAGAAGAATAAAGGTGATTCCTTTCAAAACATATTAAGCCAACTAAAAGGTATGTTTCCTGGAAGAATTTACTAAGAGATACTAACCTAGAAAAAACCAAGGAGGACTTTTAGTAACATCTCTCAACATTGGTCTTTAGAAGGCTAAAGCAGTAGTTTTGCTCTTGCATGATTCCATACTGGAGGAATCTTTACTGCGTGCTTCTCTTAAAGGATTATATGGGGAACTATATTGAAAATAAGTAATAATTATATTGCATCTGTAATTGTATTTATCAATGAAAATATGTAAGTACTATCTGCATCACCCACTCTTGGCTATCACACAGCCATCCCTGAATCCTTTGAATAATAATTGATAATTTAACAATAACTGATCATTGTATTGGAATCCTATGGAAAGGAGGCAAACAAATGATCAATCATGGAAAATCAGCTGTGCGTGTCATTACCAGGTCTCGCGTGGCAAGATACATAAGGAGAGCACTTGAAGAAAATGTCCTGAACTTGAACATGACAGTTGAGATGTTGGGGTACCAGCGAATGGGGCGGCTGACCAACGCATAGCCTTCTCCATCAAATTGAATAGTCCCCTCACTATCTTCTACCTGAGGACTGAAGAGAGACATTTCACATGAATCAATATCTGTTTCGTCCATCAGTATTCAATACATCCAGTTGTTTTCTGAGGCTCGATTGTGAGCTGTTCTAGGACAGGAACCATACCCAATAGATCTTCCATCCTTCTATTTCTCTCTACCTCTACTGCTACCATTCTAGACCAAGTAGCAATCACTTCTTACCTGGACTTTATCTGGTGTTCAATAACTAAGTTATTGATGTTTTAAATACTGTATGTTTAACTGAAATACTTCGTGGGCAGTTACAGTGGTATTTAAGTGTGTCTTAGTGGTGTGGACAGGTAGGGTTTTGGATGGACTGAGAATGTGTTATTACAGATCTCATATACATAATGGGGGAGGTTGGCTGCAAATGATGAAGTTGGTCAAAAGATACAAAGTTAAAGTTATAAGAAAAAAAACCATACTGGAATAACGGTCCTTTCTCTCTAAATACTTGCTATCCAATGAGTTTTTCTGGGACAAATTAAATTCAGACACTAAAGGATGCCTTTATCTATTTCAGTGTTTGTTTTTCTGTGTTCTTCACTAGGATGCAAGCCATAGGAGACCAGCTAGAGATTATGGGCCAGACTCTGTGTCAGGCACAAACTCAGTACCTAGTATGACACTTGGCTCATAGTAAAGTCTGTTATATGTGGAATCAAGGATATTTTAGTATCGAAAATTGCCTTACAGAGAATATATATTCAATCAATGTTGGCTGAATCATTAAGAAATATCTAAGATAATCCTCATAAATATAACATTTAGAATAATTTCTTTTCCAAATGCAAAGTTATTTATCATCTATCAATCAATCAATCTAATGATGTTACAGATTAAGTCTCAAATTGTGGAGATTTTTTAAAACTTTAAATTTCCTCATATTAGGATCTGTTTGAATCTCTGAAATTGAAGTGTTGTATTAATGAGGATAGAGAGGAGATATTGAGAAATACTATAGCCCTGTCATTGTAAAATAACGAGGGTCTAGAATCTTATTTGCATGAAATCTTGGCTAATGAGAAAACTAGCAGTGCACAAACATTAATTGGCTTGTGAAGGAAGAACTGTTACAGTTAAGGAAGTTAAGTTGGCTTTCTCTCTGTTCCTTGACCAGAGAGAAATAAAACTGAAGGGAAGAGTCTTATACTGTGTCTTGCCGGGTCAGGTCTTTGTAATTTTAAGTTATATCTAATTTGGAATAAGATCAGATGATGTCATAAATTTTTGTCCCAACATAAACTTAAAAGATGCTTTTCAATATTCCTGCAAAGCATTAGAAGTATGAGGAACTGCATTTGTCTATTAATAAACAGTATAATTGGTAGTGAATAAATTGGCTATGGATTGGGCCTTTCTTTATTATTACAACAAGCCCACTAATTTCTGGAGCATTGCATTAGAGATAAGAGACTGTTGTGTAGAACCTAGTAAGGAGAAGTTCCTTGAGTTCTCAAAGCCCAGGGTTTTGCATTATGAGCTGCCATGCTACCATTGACAGTCGTGGAAAGGGTTGGGGGAGTCACTGTTGATAGCTTTGAGCCAGTGCATTAGCACTTATAATTTAAATGAACAAAAACATAAAACCTCACTATACAGAATATTAGAATAAAAAATATCACATTTTTGTTATTGTTGTTGTTTAAGAACTCTGGGATATTTATACCCTCATATCCTTATGTCCTTAATCTATTAATTCCTTCAATATTAATTTAAAAAATAGAGTAGATGGCAGGTACCCTTGAATCTGATGTGGAATCTCACTGAAGCCTTGCTACAAGTCCCCTAACCCTTCAGGTGTCACCTTGAGATAAAAGGATTAGATCAGGGAATGATTTCTGAGGCCAATCCTATTCCATTCCTTTAGAAGATTCTCCTATTTGCCTTTTACTTACTGAAGTAAAAGGCAAGGGGCGCCTGGGTGACTCAGTTGGTTAGGCAGCCAACTTTGGCTCAGGTCATGATCTCCGGTTTGTGAGTTCGAGCCCGGCTTCAGGCCCTGTGCTGACAGATCAGAGCCTAAAGCCTGCTTCCGATTCTGTGTCTCCCTCTCTCTCTGCCCCTCCCCTGCTCATGCTTTGTCTCTCTGTCTCTCAAAAATAAATAAACGTCAAAAAAAATTTTAAGCAAAAGGCAAATCTGCAGGGGAGGGTTTTGTGCTGAGAACATCTAAACCCACAGATGTAGATCAGCCTACTTCTGTTGACTTATTGGCTAAACCCAGGTAAGTCTGGCTTTAAATTGGTGACTTTGAGGGGTGCCTGGGTGGCTCAGTTCGTTGAGCTTCTGACTTCGGCTCAGGTCATGATCTTGCAGTTTATGGGTTCCAGCCCCACACTGGGCTCTGTGCTGATAACTCAGAGCCTGGAGCCTGCTTTAGATTTTGTGTCTCCTTCTTTCTCTGCCCCTCCTTTGCTTGCACTCTCTCTATCAAAAATAAACATTAAAAAATTAAAAAAATAAATAAATTGGTGACTTTGAGATGGAGGGAAGAATGAATCCTTCCAGGTGTAGTGTATATATTTCAACATCTAACATTATACTAGAGTGTTCTTATTCATTATTCATATATATTTATAGGAATATATATTCAGAAATTATATATATTCAGGATGTATATAATTTCTGAATATATATATATATATATATATACATATATATACATTCAGGAATACCAGGAAAAGTAACTATTTTTCTAATAATTAACATATGCTAAGCTTCTTAACTTGCCTTTTGTTTCTCTTTTGAACTCTGATGTCTGCTCAAGTTATTAAGGACTAATTATCCTATCTGGAACAGCCACTTTCTTCCACATGTAACTTGTTAACTATAGAACTAGAAGTATATTGGGGTTTAGAAGAATAACACTTCATCACTGTTTCAATATTAAGCTAAATACATTATATTTGTAGTATTTTTTCTACTTTAATTTTAATGTCATTTTTAGAAGTTTAAGAAAAATAAGATACACTTCTTTTTTTTTATAGTCCTGGCAGATAACTCCTTCTTTCCTTCTTCCTTTTTTTTTTTTTTTGATAACTCTTTCTAAAGCATAACAACAATTATATCCTTTTTACTGACTACTGAATAAATAAAAATTTCTAAAATGGACATTCTAAGATCTTCAAAATGTTCTCAGTCTACGTCTCACAGCCTCAGCTTTTACATCTTCCACATATAATCATTTCTGGTCTAAATCTGGAATGATTTCTATTTATGTTAAAATATATGTGTTCTCTTGAAAAGAAAACACTACCAGGCACTGGGAATTCTGTAAAATTATTTTTACAAATACCAAGAATTACAGAAAAATAAGGTTGATGCAGGGTCACTCAAAACTTATACAACTTTATAATCAGAGCACTCACAAAAAACAAACTAGTATTGATCAAAATATTGGCCTAATACAAAAAGCTATGCTATAAAATTTAAAATAAAGAATTATTTCAGTATAACATTATACCTTAAAAGGAATAGGTGAAAGTAATTTGATGGCAAGGACGAGCATAAGGAAGGGTTGACAGTGCTGAGTGACAGATGCGGCAAAAAGGCACAATGGTGTGGGGAGAACTTCCGAGACAAAGTGCTTGGCGAAATCAAGGGCAAGTTCATAGGTGAAGAGGCACTGTGTGCAGGCTGTGTTGTGAATCCAGTAGCCTTGAGCTTGGTGCATTCAGCTATGCTGGTAGACTTAGCATTCAGCTGCCTTTACTTGGTCGTGCAAAACCTTTACATGCTGGGAAGAACTTTTTTTAAAAAGTTAATTTATTTATTTTGAGAGAGAGAGAGAAAGCATAAGCAGGGGAGGGGGGCAGAGAGAGAGGAAGAGAGAGAAAATCCCAAGCAGGCTCTGCACTGTCAGTATAGAGCCTGATGCGGGGCTCGAAATCACACACTGTGAGACCATGACCTGAGCCAAAACCAGGAGTCGCATGCTGAGCCGCCCTGGTGACCCTGGAAAGAACTCTGTCCAAAACCTCTATGACTTCCACACCTTGCTGACATCATTCTCCCATTTGCCAATCTTGCCTGAGTGAATTCACACTTTTAAAGCAGAAGAGATTTTACTGGTCTCTTCCTAAAAACACTCTGGCTTTCTAGCCTTTGCTCTCACTGGTCCCTGGAACTAGAATGCTTTTTACCTATTATCTGTCAGCTCCTCCCTTGAACTCTTACTCCATGGGAAGGCCCACTTCAAATGTTACTCCCTTCATGAAGCAGTCTAACACACTATTATAATTATATTAGCTCATGTAATATTTTATATACTAAAGACATAAGATCTTTGTAGAATTTGTAATTATTAGCATGTTATAGTCTTAACACATTATATGCACTACTGAATGGATGTTTAAATGCTCTAGATGTTTTGCTGATGATAGGCTTTTGAAAACCCTTTGTATAAATTTACCAAAAAAAATGTTTAGGGAAAAGTTGGTGTTACTTTGTGAGTAGAGGAATATTAATGTGAGCCTCATTGTCTTTGTTGTATTAAAAACGTTTTACAGAAAACATTCCATGTTAGATTTTGTTGCAGATTATTCACCCAACCACTTTAAACTATGAATGGGTTAGGCTTTTAAACTGTCCTCAGTGCTACATTGAAAAGTCCATAATGTTGAGAAAACAGTACTCTGTTACACTGATGGGGAGTTTGGGTCTTCACAAGGTGCATGTGCTCTTTCAATTGGAAGTAAAAAATACGAACGATTCAGCACCTAATGATTTTGAGCTGCTACGGGTGTATATTAGGCTTCCAGGTATTTAATTTAAATTTTATAGTTTATAGGCTCAGTTGATTAGTTGGGCCCTAAGTTATTTATGCTGAGAAATCCTCCATTCTAGCTAATTGTTTTATATCCTCTATTCAGGTATACAGAAGATAATTTATCTCTGTATATGCTTTTGTAGGCTTGTTAAATATTTTAAAATTACTACACTCTGGGTGCTTGGGTGGCTCAGTCAGCTGAGTGCCCTACTCTTGATTTTCAGCTTAGGTCATGATCTCATGGGTTTGTGAGACTTGGCCCTGTATCAGGCTCTGCATTGACAGCATGGAGCCTGCTTGGGATTCTTTCTCCATCCTCTCTCTCCCTCCCTTCCTCCCTCTCTCTCTTTCTCTTTCTCTCTCAAAAGTAATAAATAAACATTAAAATAAATAAATAAATAAGTAAATAAATAGATAAATAAATTCCTACACTCTAACCTTTATGTTGTAATTGGTGATGTGTATCACTTCACTTCACGTGTGGCCCTTTCTCCTGGCCTGTCCTGGCCCCTTCTTATCTTTCTCCACTTAAGCAGAATCTTCAAGTCCAATGGGTTTCCACTCAAAACATAGGACCCTATGTGTCATTTGGAAAATCCTGTCGGAGATCAATTTGTGCTATGTTTCTATGTTTTGTTATAAACATAAGTGGAGTGTGTCCAAGCTCTGTGAAGCCTGAAGCTTAAACAGTTCAGGGAAACCTCTCCTTAAGAAATAAAATCTTATGACAGCATAGCTACAGACATGAACAACCTCCTGGTTCCAGACATGAAGCGAAGTTGGAGTGGAAAGAGAGAGCAGGCTTAGCTGACTGTGGTGAAAATACCTTGCCCTGTAGATTTTACAAACACACATGATCATTTAAAGTACCACCGAGGCACCTCCCAGTGCCTGCAAAGTGCCTGCACAAACAGGTGATAGGATCTGACCTTTTATCAGCTTCATGATAAATCACCTCTGGACATGATCTCTTCCAAGCCGCTCCATATCATCCACATGATAGTAGAATGTTGTACAATAAAATTAAAGTTTTTGTGATGCACAGGCCAGACCTCAGAGGAGTGCTCATATTGACTAACCTGACAGTACATCCTTTGCAGTCACCTTCTTTTTCTCGGAAATTCCATAACCCTATAGGTTTGCTGTCAAAGTACGTTTCTCCCATACAGCCAGTGAATGTAATCACGCGTACAGCATCGGCCTTCTGCAGAGAGAAGCATTATATTTGTTAGAATTTAGAATTTCACAAGAAGTCTCAGAGTACCCAGGAGAGTTATTGGCAGCAAAATCTGGAGTAGTTATTATCCACTCTTTCTGATATTCTTGGCTTGCACATATTCATCTTTAACTCTATTATATCCTCACAGATCCTGGTTATTTTGTGCTAGGCTAGTTTATCACCATTAGTAAATAAACACTTCCTAGCTTCTGACTTCAGGTGAGCTGCTTATCCGCTTTGAGATTCTATTTTTTTTGTGTGTCTAAGATGGGATTATTAGAATTAAATTGGGTAATTTATTCATGGTACCACATTCAGTGCCTGGCACAGAGAAGGTATTTAATGAACGATAACCCAAGAAGATATCTCTCCAAAGATATTGAGAAGGAGCACACACTGACTACATAAAAGGGAAAAAAAACCTTACATACAGATTACTAAATGACAGTGCTGCCCCCAATTTTTCATTTCTTCCTATACCCAAGCATGTTTCCAACTCAGGAGAATGAAGAGAAAGAGTGAATTTGTAAGAGAAGGGACCATGTTGCGATTCCCTGCTAGTATATACATCATAAAGCCTATTAGGGCTCAATAAATATTTGGTAAATGACAACCCTGGTGTCGTTTTCACAGGGAAAGTCACAATCACAAAGAAGGGGAATGACCTGGTCCACTCTAGGGAAACTTGGCTGTAATTTAAACAACTATTTCTTTTGTCACTGACACATTACAAATGAATTCTGTATTTTGGTACCTATAACTTGAGAAATGCTTTGTCCAAGAGCACTCACAATGATCTGAGTAGTCTAGGGTTAAAAAGTGAATGGGCATGTCTGGGTTTTAGAACAAATGTACAAAGATGATTCTTGAGTAGATAACATTTGTAGGTACAATTTTGGGTGACACTCAACACGTACATCTTCCTATTGCTGCAACTGAGTGATGCACTGCCATGTAGAAAGAATGTTTATTACAGCCACTGACATTTACAAGTCAGAGCAGCCCTTGGAATTCTGTTATCAGTTGGAGTCTCTTTTAATTTTCCGGAGGTTGATTATCCTACTTGTAGATTCTATTTGCTTTTTGCTTTTCCTTCTTGCATCCTAAAAACTAGACGTGGGATATTTTCCTGCTCCTTTGAATGTTCATTAGCATGTTGATTTAGTTCCTTGTTTCCAGCTTTTGGTTCATATTCTGATGTGTCAGGAGCCTTGAAACTCTTGGCCAAAATGAGTAAGATTTTCTGTAGATTTCATTAGCCTGTTTTCATTTTCCCTGAAACTGGCATAAGAAAATTTATTTATGCTTAGCGACATCTGAATAATAATTAGAATTATTTAGGATGTAATTTAATGTGTGACTACCACGCCTTAGGCGTTTGTTGTAAATTTCATGCACACAATCTCTCACTATTCACTGTGGCAGTGAAACATGGTACCTAAGAGTGGAGGCTTCTGTGGCTGTTAATGTGTGTTCAAATCCCAGCTCTGGCTCTAACTGCTGTGTGGCCTTGGTCAAGTCATTAAACTTCTCTCTGACTCAGATTCCTTAACTGTAAAATGAGGAGGATATTATCTACCTTTGGGGATTGCTGTGAAAATTAAATAAGTTAATTCATGTAAATTCCTTATAATATTACTTAGCACAATAGGGCTATAAAATGTTATAAATGTTTATTATCACATCCTTTAATATGCAAGCAAGGTAGATATTTTAGCTCCCTTTTCTAGTTGAGAAAACTGAAGGCCAAGGGGCTAAGTGACTTGCCTGATAGACCAGCGATTCCAACTTGGATTTGATTTCAAAATGCATGGTTTTTATACTACTCTGTGCTACCCCTATATTTATCTTTCTGGGGAGGAGAGAAACTTGGCAACATGACTATATGTTACTATGTGCCATATATATTTATATGCTGCTCTAAGAAATCACGATGGTTTTAGTGTGTAGTTATGGAATCCATTCCAATACTTTCGAGTCACATCTCATACACAAAGCAAATAAAACAACCTCACTCTATATGAAGGTTGAGCTCTCATAAATTTGGGGTCACCCTGGGTTTTCACATTTTCTGACTAATCTCATCCCAAAATGATTCTGACAAGCCGAGGATTATCCATTGTATTTGGTTGTGCTCTTGTATCTCACCTACGGGTCGTTTTCCAACACCTAATTCCATTTAATCAACATGAGCTTCTTTAAAATGCAGGCACTTTGCAATTGCAAATGCACCAGGACCTGTCATGAAGCAATTATGAATATTAAGTGCACTCCTCTATAAGAATGAGGGGAAGAGCAACTTGAAAACTTTAAAAATCAGACCATGATTTGGAAGCTTATGACTCCTGTGATATTTCCCAAGGTATTCATGAATCTTTTAATTAGATGTGAGTTTGAACTTCATAGCACTTCGTATCAATAAATCATAAACTGATTCAGAAAAAGGGGTATATTTAAAAAACACTCTGCTCTTGAGGCTTTGAAACGAGACTATAAAGAAAACGGGTGCCACAGATAAGTGCAAAAGAACCATTTAAGTAAATACACATAGGCTTAAAAACATTGTGTTTCCAGACTGAATAGTCAAAGAAGAAGAAATTCTTACACAAAATAAATGTATGTCTTCATACACACATTAAGTAAAAAATAGTCAAGTTGCGCAAAGCTTCACCCCGCCTTCCCCTAGAGTAATCACACTATGACTTATGTCCAGAGATGAAATAAATAGCATGGGAGAGAGCATGCTACCTTCAGTTTGCCAGTCAAGCCACCAACGAACAGCATTGCGTTTGCATCCACGTCAAGAATCGTATACCCTGGAGGAGATGCCGCGTGGTATGTACTGGGCACGATGCTGGCTTTGGGTCCATCCAGGGCTCTCACAGAAATGGTCCCATTCCTCCCAGTTCTTGAGGAATCCGTGTTGAAATGAAGTGAAAGAAAATACAGAAAATGAAATATGTATCACATTTACAGTAACTTCAGTTTTTAAAAAGTTTTTTAATATTTATTCATTTTTGAGAGACAGAGCCTGAGCAGGGGGGGAGCAGAGAGAGAGAGAGAGAGGGAGGCACAGCATCTGAAGCAGGCTCCAGGCTCTGAGCTATCAGCACAGAGCCTGATGTGGGGCTCAAACCCATGAACCGCGAGATCTTGACCTGAGCTAAAGTCGGGTGCTTAAACGACTGAGCCACCCAGGCACCCCAGTGACTTCAGTTTTAAAAGGTATGAAGTATAGGGACTTGTTATGGAATATTCAAGAGATAGCTAGGTGCTTAGCTTCAAAAGATGCAGATTCATTAAATTGCAAATCAAAACCAAGAGTCTGATCTTTGTTGGATGTTTACTGTCAGATTCAACTAGGACCGGTAAGCAACATACCCTGATTCTGCACGTGGTAGTTGATATGAAAGGACACAGTAGCAATTAGCTGATGGAATTGCCATTGGTTAAATGGAAAACCTTTCTCCCATTGCCTTACAAAACAATTTACTGTTTACCAACACATACTATTTAAACAAGTTCATAGTACTTCATTTAGAATTTTGTCTAATTTAACTCAGCAAGTGAACCCCAAATGAGCCACCCTTCTGTATTATAAGCTCCATCGTTTCTCCTAAAACCCCTTATGATATCTTGGATCCAAATTTGCTGAAGTAGTCTTCCTGGAATTGTGCATCTTTTGTTGTTTGGCATACCATCTTAATGCCTACAGCATAATGTCTGGTCTTCAGAGTTGTGTGTACAATTTGTATAGAAGAACTTCACTTTTAAATTCAATTAATAGAATTTTGAAAGCTATTATTATTTTATTTCCCTTCTTAACTGATTGATGTCTATGACTTGTTAAATACTAAAAACTGGTCTCTCTTCTGAGTCAAGCAGCCACAATAAAACTTCAGTGTCTCTGTCTCTCCCTGCTATTCCATTTAGGTAATCTTTTTCTCTCTGAGGGTGCAGTATTAACTGATATACCGGGCAACAACAGAATGAATCTATCAAATAAGATTCTTCTTCATCTTACCAGAATGTATCTCTTACAAAGAGTAAAACTCTTTGTATCCATCACCTACATTCAAGGGTTGCTTGATCCATCTCTAGCCCCAGGCCCTTAACTCTACAACTCAACTATTAGCTCCTTCAGGTTCAGCAGGTGTTGGGAATAAGAAAAAGAGGAAATGAAGGAAAAGAATCGAGGACAGGAATGGGTTCTCCGTGTTATCTGTATACTGCTAGAAGTTAACTGAATTAATGCTTCAAATACAGAATGAATCAGTAGCCTGTTACTTTGCATTTTAAGTAGTATGGACCTGACATACTATATACTTGTGCCAGCATTTAGATGCTGCACCTGCCCGTAGGCAGCGTTGCTGTGAGGACTAGAATAGCAGCTAAGCACTTGAAGACAGGTACCGCTGGCAGCTCTTATGCTCTGGTCTGTGCTGAATGGGAGCAAGTCTCAGTACTTCTTCAGGGGAGATAGTATGACTGATAGCATGTCAGTATGGTTATGAGACAACCAGATGAATGGTCCAAAGTGCACTGCTCACTCTGGTCAGCACCTTGAAAGCTTTTCAGTTGGTAACAGAGACTACAAGGGACACCCATTCACACACATTTATACATATACATTTAATATATAAGATGTGTACACATGCATCCATAGCTACCTCCCTGAAATGGATAAAGGAGATTTCTTATAAACTGAGAACCCACTTCAAAATTCTGCCATTTAATTCTCTTAAGGTTTATTGAGGTAGTTACCTTGATGCCTCAATCCGGTACCAGTATGAGTCATCAATAGTCAAATCCGGATACTCTACACGTCCAACTCCAGATCCAACGTCCCAGAGAAAGCTTACTTTGCCTTTACGCATTTCTATAGCCAGAAAGTCAATCTAGTCCAGAGAAGCACAAAAACAATAGATAACAGGTATCTGAAGAGGCCAACAGAGTTCTTTTCAACAGGCGCTCTTTATAGATATGGGAAATAAGTATAAGTCTCACAATAAAAAGTCCCAAATGATATGATCTATTATTATGCATTATTAAGTAATATTTTATTATTGTGCCTTTAAAGCAACACATGTGTCCTTACTGCTGAGGCATAAGAGTTAATGCAACTAATTCTAATTTTGAAACAAAAGTCTTTTCTCATTCTGATTCTTATGGTAGAGACAAAAGAAAATATTGGGAGGCAGAATTCACGGTTTTCACCAAGGATACTGACATCTTTTTTCTTTTAAGTTTATTTATTTATTTTGAGAGAGAGGGAGGGACAGAGAGAGAAAGGGAGAGACAGAATCCCAATCAGGCTCTGTGCTCCACTGCGCTGAGCCCAGGGTGGGGCTTGAACTCAGAAACCATGAGATCATGACATGAGCTGAAATCAAGTGCCAGACACTTAACCGACTGAGCCACCCTGGTGCCCCAGACACTATTTTTGAGGACTCAACTATGATTTTTCACCCAAAGTGGTGTAAAACTTCTCACCTGAATGACATATATCAACTCGTACGTAATGACTGCTATGTTGAAAATTTTATTCATTTTGGAAGATCCCCATGCATACAAAGTTAAATGTTCAAATAAGAGGAATGAAAACTTTTGGGGTGAGCATTTGTAGATACGACTTCTGTTTATTGAGTCATAAATTCAACATGAATCCAAAGAGTTTTCATTGGTAGGAAATAAGTACACAATTTGTCGTTTTCATTTAACATGAAAGCTCATTGTAATTTATTAGAGACTTGTTTTTAAAGCTTTATTCCTATTAGTCCTTCTTCTTAAATAGCCAGATCTGAAGATAACATTCTAAATAAATGCTGGAATACTCACAAATGAAAGAAGATGTGCCTAAATACTGCAAAAAGCTTTCTTAATTTTATTTTCCTTCTAACTTACTTTGATGCTTCAGAACTTCCTGTGGTAAGGTTTTCAAAACTGAAAACGTCACACAATTTTGGGACCCTATTATTAGACTCCATACATTTTCCTCACCAACGGGACTAATCTCTGCCTAGTCACATATACAGGAGACAGAAGAAGCTGGATATCGAACTTACAAATTTGGCACTTCCGAGATAAAAAAGGAGGTTGTCGGCAACAGCTGTCTTTACATTGACAACGATATTATTGTAGCTTCCCTTCTTGATTTCCGGCTTGTATGTTCGAATGCAGTCACCCCCGGAAGACACAGATACTTTGATCTTCAAGAAAAACAAGGTACAAAGAACCAAGACTGAATCTCTCAGAAAGTTTGAAGTACCTCCCAGACAACTACAAAACCATCATCATCTCTTCTTTGAAGTTATTTTTCTATCATCAAATAGAATCATTAAATGCCCACATGCAGACACCATTATACTCATTAATGAGGGCGCAGAAGCCAGCTTCCCAGGGAGATTCTGACAATGAGCTGTTCACAGCCCCATATCCTGTTAGTGTGTTACTATTTTTCGAAGCATCTAAGTAACAGATTCGTACCTTCATACCTTTCTCCTTTATGAATGTGGGGACATTTTCAAGAGGTCATTTTATATGAAGCTAATGATAATGATCTTCATTAGGGTTGTTGAATGAAATTTTACAATTCAAATTCCAGTGATTTTCATACCACTTAAAGTAGGACATCATTTTTCTTTTAGTTTTCAAGAGGAAATTACCTACCCTCTCCTGTTCTTACAGTTGGAAGAGGCCAAATAGATTTTGTTCTAGATGTTCTAACAATATGAAGAATATTAATCATGCCACTCAGGACATACATTTGAGAATAAATTATACCTTTTTATTAAGTTGCCAGGAAATGAAACGGAAATAATTTTCAATGGCTATCCCTACTAATGTATTTAACAGCTCCTTTTTCTTTTGACGAGTACTTTAAAAATTACTATAAATTGCTAAGAAAGGAATTCCTACATGAATAGAACTGAAACTGTTCATGCTGATTCTCACTTACATCCATTGAGCCTGTCTTCGGTCACAAATAACACTAGTTTGATTATGTGACTTAATTTCCATTTGTTCAGGTGTACCCTCAAAGGGCACTTTCAGGATGGTAATGGAGTTGCAGGAAGAAGTTGCTACTCTTCTCCATGATAGGAATCAAAGTTGGAAGCAGAGACAAGGAAGGGTGCAGACCTTTTCTTTGCCACTTATTTAAACGCTCAGCTTCCAGAAGCCTCTTGGTTCTCACTAGCAGTCAATTTTCTCGTTCCTTCAAGCATTGCGTGCTACTCAGTTTTTGCACTTGGGAGAAAACCAACTAGGTTTATTGTTCTCCTTACGAAAGGGTTGTGGTGACTCCAAACAAGATAACCTAGGATACCACCATGCCAGTCTCCATGTTGTGGTGATGCAGGAACAGCTCCAAGTCTAACTAGGGAATGGGCATAGGCAGCACGAGGACTCTGCCCCAAGTGTGGTATAGACTGCACTGAAGAGATACTGGATGAAAAACGGTACATTTTCAAATGAAAGCCAAGGAGAGATTTTTGGTTCTAATGAATATGTAAATTCTTATGTGTTTGAGAACTTCTGGGGACACAGCAGATCTGTTGCATTTCCTACAGACTCTGTATAAGTTGTGTATTTGTATATTCTTGTTTCCTCATGTAATCTGCTAACCAAATTGCATCTTCTGCTGAGGAATCAAATGCTGGAAAGGAAAAGGGGCTCAGCCTAATGGAACTCTGTGTGGTGGCCAGGGGCTAGAATAACCCCACAGCCTATTGCTTAGATGGTTTCCCTTGTCCTTGCCTTCCTCCTAAGGGGGCGGGGGTGGGGGGGGAGCAGTCTGCAACACGGGGAACCCAGAACGTTTGCTCTGTGTTCTGGGGGAAGAATGGTCTTCCTGGTAAGTACAGTTTTCTATCAGGGTGTTTGTTCTTTCCTCCACAAATGACGGGATTTCCCTTCTACAAAACGTGCTAAGACTAGGTAAATCAAAATGAGTTGCAGAAAAACAGAACTAGGAAACCTGTAACTTTTACTCTGGATGTGATGTTAATACTGTAGAGCAGACACGCAGTGAAGGTTGGCAGAGGGTGATATGTGACGGAGTAGCATAACGAAATTTGCAGCAAACGAACCAAGACTACCATCAGAGAAGACCTTGGCACTGAGCAAATTCAATACCTGAAGCAGAGTATACACATCACTGACATCAGAAGACAATCAAAGAGAAGGAATCAAGGCCTACTGGGAATTCATGAGTAGAGCTGAACAGCGGATTGAGTGATCCCTGGCAGGAAAAAATCACAACCAAACTCCTGGCAGGACTGAGTTAGTCATCAGAAGTAACTGGGTGTGTGGTTTGTCTTACCTTTATTTCACAAATACTTTATAGTTTGGGTCACAGAGCCATATTATGGCTACTATAATCACAAATGACTTATTTTTGTTTACAGAATACAAAGTAATCATACACTTGGTTGCTGTTTAGAGAAGAAATGACTGAATACGGGTGGAATACATGACTGTTTGACCACAGGATTGACTTCTGTCCTTGGTTAGGTATACCTGGTGGAAATGACAGGGGATTGCATGTCTGGTGTGTTGAAAAGGGGATCACCAAAGTGTAGACGACGGAGCACCAGTACTGAAGCCTAACTGAACTGTTGAAATTCTGAGAACTGAAAGTCTAAGACAGTAGCCATTTTAAAACTAAGGGTATTTAATGTCACTAGGAGTAACAATTAATCTCCTTTATGGCATACTTTACGTATCGAAAAATATGGTTCTCTGAACAAAATGACGGTGTTATGCCCCAAATGCCAGCAATTGATCTTGTAAAGTAACCTATCGCTCAACTCTTACACATTTATATAAAAATTCCTCTGGATTTTCTGTTTTCTGCCTTATGGTTTTGAATATACCCTCAATATCTGAAACATTTAGGCAGCCCAAACTGTTGGTAACCTTTTAACTTCCTTGTGTTTTGATTTCCAACTATAGAGACTTCTTTTAATAAACTTAAAACTGGTATATCAAAATACAATATTTATAAATTTCTCCGTAAGAAGTTGGTAGGACATATGCCTTTCATAAGAAGGAAAGTTTCTGAAACACAAATATCTCTTAGGATGTTTGGGTCTATCAATTATTGTTATTTCTAATGTGAACCATTCATAAGACTTCTAAACAAAAGCCACTAAGCATTAGGTACCTCTAAGGCATTTCTCATACAACATTACCAGTGAATCATTATGAACTCAATTAAACATTATTGAGGATCCCATTATTTTATCTATTGGAGTTTCACTGCACTTCATTCATCCAGTAACCAGGTCATTCATTTAAAAAGAGTATTAGCTACTTACGTTCAGAGCCAACAAAGAAAGAAAACTTTATTATCTTATTAAAAAATTTTTAATGTTCATTTGCTTTTGAGAGAGAGGGAGAAACAGAACCTGAAGCAGGCTCCAAGCTCTGAGCTGTCAGCCCAGAGCCCTATGTGGGGCTGAAACTCACAAATTGTGAGATCATGACCTGAGCCGAAGTTGGATACTTAACTGACTGAGCCACCCAGGTGCCCCAAACTAAAGCTACTTTAGAATACATGTCTTTAATTTTTTGGTCATGTTGAGTATGTGTCAGGGCCACATCCAGACACTCATGCCAGGTTACAAATATATTTATAGATCATCTTTAATACCTACAAAACTTATTTGAAAAAAAAATTGACTTGCTTATGTATTTCTAGCATCTTATTTAAAAAAATAAGACACTTTGCTATAACTTCCATTTCCAAAAGTAATTGAAAATTTCCTTGAAAGGCATGGACAATGGTTAATTCCTTTGGCATTTCTTTATACCTTTCATTTTGTATCTTGAGACAAGTTTTATATACTTAAGGAGTAGGAGAAAACAGAACTGATGTATATAGGGCATATTTCTAGATTTCTTTATAAAAAGAAATAAAAAAAAATTCCAGATTTCCATATATGAGGACTTAAAAAATGTGGCTAAGTGTGTGATTCACAAGAGAATATTTACTATTTTTGCTTCTTTAAATGAATATTGCAAAATACAGGAGTGATATCTCAATCTCTCCCTTTCTCTTGTTACTGCCACCTGCTATAGTTGCCTTCTGGGGCATCTGGGTGGCTCAGTTGATTAAGTGTCCAACTTCAGCTCAGGTCATGATCTCATGGTTCATGGGTTTGAGCCCCGGGTGGGGCTCTGTGCTGACAGCTCAGAGCCTGGAGCCTGCTTCTGATTCTGTGTCTCCCTCTCTCTCTGCCCCTCCCCACCTCAAGCTCTGTCTCTTCTCTGTCTCAAAAATAAATAAACATAAAATAAATATAAACTTCTTTCTAGCATCTTCTTATTTATACACCAAACTACTTTCAGATTCATATTCAAAAGAGCACTGCTCTGATAATATTATGTTTTACATTCGAGAACTTTCAGCTTTTCCTCACCAATGAGGTTTATCTCAGGTATAATTGTGGCTAAACAAAACTGCTTCCATTTCCAGCCAAGGCTGGAACAAAAGCTGACCTCCACTGACCTTTTTGATTTAATGTTCACTCTACTAATAATCCTGGCAAACTAGACCACTCTTTCAAGCAATGACCCTGAACCTTCCTTCTCTGTCTGACTTGTACATTCTCAGAATGCTCTGCGTCCTTACTCTCCCCTCCCACATCCAGCACTACCCCACTCAAGGCCAGGCTCGAATTCTGCTCTTTGGGAAATCTTCTGGACCCTACCAGAAGGGATCTTTTTTTTCTAGAAGTTTATAGCCATTCCCAGTGCTCATGTACAAATAGTACACTATTTGGCATTATCTTAGAGTTATATATGTACATGGCTTAATTTTTTCTATGGTGTTGTAAACTTGGTACCTAAAAGTAGACTTGAGCATAGGAGATGCTTTTTCTACATTGGCTTAATTTTAGTTAAAACCACAAACCTCAGACTAATATCTGACTTCTTTTCATTTTTTGCTTCGTATATATAATACTCATATGGCATCATACTGCCTACACGGTTTTCATATGGTAGCTCAATATATATCTTCTCAACCCTGGCTGTTTCTTTCACTTTGAGCTTATGTATATCACAGTGACTAATTTCTTGTCATTTTCTAAATTTCTCTTTAATTTTTTAAAATGTTTACTTATTTTTGAGAGAGAGCACATGCATGTGGGAGGGGCAGAGAGAGAGAGAGAGAGAGAGAGAGGGAAACACAGAATTGGAAGCAGGCTCCAGGCTCTGAGCTGTCAGCCCAGAGCCCGACATGGGGCTCAAAACCACAAACTGTGAGATCATATCCTGTGCTGAAGGTGGACACTTAACTGACTGAGCCATCCAGGTGCCCCCTAAATTTCTCTTTAGTCAGAATGAATCCCTTTTTAAAGTGCACCTTGAACTTATTATCTTAGCTTTCTTTAGAGGTATCAGCTATGTCTAAGGAGGAAGAATGATATACTGTTACTTGGGCATCATATTATTGCCCACTACTAAAACATATATAAGTTGATGAACTAAGAAAAGGCATTTTCTGGTGATTCTAGCTTCAGAGTTGTTCAGGAAAATGGAACTTTCAAGATGGAAGACTTGAGTATCTAAAAAGATTTGAGCTTAAACCTGACAACACAAAAACTATTATTTTTTTCTTCCATTTCTACAGTTGTCATGGATGTATTTACAAGCCTAGATAAAGTTTCCCATTGGCACTTAACAATTCTACCCTGGTTCAACAGATTACTATCTTCTAGAAAGTTCTATGTCTTTCCTAATAGTTTTCTAATTAGGTTAATAAAGAGCAAAATTTTGATACAAGTGAGGTATTCTCCATTCTTACTCCAAAAAAAAAAAAACCCTGCAGAAATTATAACCAAAATGATTTTTGTTGTCCCTTATATTCAGACAAAAAATATATAAAAGAATGGTTCTTCATTGCTATTACTCTATATAACCTTGTTCATTCCTTCCTGATACAGCCCCACTGACTAGCCTTTTGTGCTTTCATCAAAAGCAAGAACTCTCACCCATGACTTTGTAACATACAGTAGTAAGATTTCCATTCTTGCTATTTGTGCTACTCTATTCAAACAAGGATAAAATATAACAAAATTCCCATTTTTGTTTTTTTAATTTCTTTAAGATTATTTATCTCTCTGAGAGGGAGAAAGAGAGAGCAAGCAGAAGTGGGCAAGGGGCAGAGAGAGAGAATCACAAGCAGGCTCTGCATTATCAGAACAAGCCTGATGCAGGGCTTGAACTCATGAACCGCGAGATCATGACCTGAGTCAAAGTCAAACACTTAACTGACTGAGCTACCCAAGTGCCCCACAAAATTCCCATTTCTAAAACAGTAAGTAGTGATTATTCATCCTATGAGATGTGTTTTGAAACTTATGGAAAAAATATCTAACCTTTTATCCTCCCCTCCCCTTAAAACAGCTTCAAGTTAAAGGAAAACAGATAATTCAACAGGATACACTGGGGGAAGGTATTCCCTCTGGGAATAGTATAAAAAATTACAATCAATTACTGATATTGAAAGTAAAACACTTACAGAATTAGCTTGTTTCCGGGCTTGGTTGATCAGTTCCTTTATCTCAGAAATGTTTTTCTTTAGGTTATCCTCAAGTTCCTTGATGGGTTTGAGTTTATCTATTAGACGATCAGCTTCTTGTTCTAGATTTTTCACAGTGGCATCTGCATCTGCAACTGCATAGACCAAGATTCGTGCACACCACACACACACACACACACACACACAGAAATGAAAATAGTAGTATGCTTAATTAAATAATTGAAAGTATTTCATCTTATCCACATGACAAAGCAGGACCATGACTATTGAAGCAGTTTGTGATGGCAAATGCAAATATTTCAGTTGGAACTCAAGCAGGCCAAAGCAGGACTGTTAGAGATAGAGAACCAACACTGTGGCTGTGTGACCAAAGTGAAAGTTAGCATTGAAGGTAGAGAATACAGTGAATAATTCAATGATTAATTTGTAGCTTCAGCCAAAAATCTAACCTTTATGGAATAGAATTTTAGTTATAAAATCAAGGAAATGAAAGTGTTTTAAAATGTCATCTCATCTGTCCAAGCCAGAACTGTGTTTAAACCAGAGTTCTCACACAAAATTGGTTTTCCTTCTTTTACGCAGTGTCTGTCTTTGTACATCTTAAAGAGAGGAGCCTATCAGAATGTCTTCTGAAAACATTGCAGTGTTGAACAACCCTCAGACTGAAGGCCTGTCTTAAACTTTAATTAAATCTTTCATGCTGCAGTTCATTTTCATTTTGAAGAATAATTGATTATCCTAATCTCTATATTAGGTTGAGACATATTAAACTGTCATTTTTTATAGGTTAAAAAAGGTTGAATATTGACAATTTCAAAGGAGCTTAACCCTCAAATAATAAGTTTATCACTGATTCAGAGACTTTCAGCATGTGGTCTTCAGAGGAGGGTAAATGACACATGGAAACCAATTACTCAATTTCTAGGATGCTGGCCGCCTTACCCAAACCATGTCATTTATTATCTGATTGAGCGTGTATTGTTCTGCTTTCTATCATTGTGACTATGGTGAAAAAATGAAACTACTTAAGGACCAAGGCTGTGTGCCCTGCTCGACTATGAACGATGTGTTCTCCGGTGGTCAATGGACCACTCAGGAATGAATCAAATGTGCTCAAAAGCAAGGAAATTGTTATTTTTTAAACTAGGTTTTGAATTAAGTATTTTGAACTCATAATATGAACAACATTGTGAGCGATGTTTAAAAAGGACATCGGTATGTTATTAATTTTAATAGAGTTGCTAGATCAAAGCCTGAAATGCAGGTTACTAGGGTCAAAGCCCTTGTTACAGAATTGTATATTCAACAGAGACACTGTTTACTTTAAGTAAACCTTTTGCCTATGTTTTCCTTCCTTTAATTCTCCAATATTACTCTGATATTCATATAATATACAAATTATTCTACAATTGAGAACAATGTTTTAGATTTGGATTTATGGGAAAAACAAAAAGGGTAAAGCAAAGCTACTTAAGGTTTGTGCAAGAAAAGATTCTTTTCTTTGATAGCTTCCAGATTCTAACCAAATGTTTCCAAATGAAATTGGAAGTTTATGCACCTCTTTCACTCCCCTCCCCGTCTTCTGAAGCAGATTAAGTCTTTTGGGAAATATCTTCTTGATAGTTTTAAAAATAAATCATCTGTGATAGTGATTCAGATACATTCTTGTATAGCAGTTTTTTAAAACTTCTGACTTTCTTCCGTAATTATTTCAGTGTAGAGATTTTAAAATCACTTTTGAAGATAGATTATGACTATGTTTTTCTAGAAAATTATCTATCTCTACTAGGCTCGAAAATTCATCAGCATAGAGTTTTGACAAGTACTCTCTTACGTGTTAAATTTCCCTCCTGTACGTTCTCATAGCTCCTCTAAGAACTTTGCCTATCTGCTCTTTATTATTATTGATCAAGCCTGCCAACAACTTAAAATGTTTTACCTTTACATTCCTAAAGATCTACATCTTGGATTTATCAAGTGTATTATTTTTCGGTCTTTTAATTCACCATTTTTTCATCTTCTTTCTTTTAATTTTTATTTTGTCTAATTTATAGGGTTGATTATGTAAATTGTTCATTTCAGTGCTTGTTTAGTGAGGTGATCACACTCATTTTCCCCTGAGGACAGCCTTGGTCATATCCCCCAGGTCTTGATATGTTGGGTTTTATAACTATTATTTCCAATGCTGCAGTTTTCTTTCTGACTTTGAGTTTAAGCTATGAGATGTTTAAGAGAGAATATTAGTATATCCCAAAAATTTCTCATTAGATAAGATCTAATTTTATTAAGTTTATTATGCGCTTCTCCAAGGGTAATTCTCTAGAAGCTGAGAATAATTATTTATATGGAGGGGGAAATGCGGGCCTCAGGGGAGAAAAGCAATGACAACAACATATATCTGATCTATTTTAATCCTGCTGCAAGGAAGTCATTTGAACTTCGGTGGTGGGATCTGTCATGAGAGACATCCCAATTTATTTCAATTTGTGGAAGAGTTCTGTTTTCTGTTTTTCTACTGATATCGTACAGATATTTCACTAATTTCTACGACACAAATGGAAATACGTAATATCAAATACATCCACATGCTAACTTTTTGTAAACGAAGAGGTCTTTTATTTTTTATTTTTTTTTTTAATGTATCTAGGATCAATGCCGTGACACTGGGAAGCGTAGCTATCTAAGGGTCAAGCAATGCCGACGCACGCTCACATGCAAAGCTGAAGCTTTTGCAATAGGCAACCGAGCATAAAGTTACTAGAAACTATGCAAGTAAACATATACATACTGATTTCTGCAGGAAATTTCATAGGGAAGCAAAACAAAGAGAAATTAGAAAATTCATGAGGACATATTTTTATAGATATTACAAAGCAGTCCTTCTCAAAAAACGGTACTTTTCACAACAGGTGCTAATAATAAATGTACCCTATTTAGGTCAAACAAGACCTAAATAAAATAAAAATCCACAAATACATGTCAGATAGCAGGCTATTGTTCATATTAAAGGAAACTTTATCATGATGTTCTAATAGGATACAAAACAGACCCAGTTTAATTGATATCACAGATAACTATCTCTAGACAGAGGGTAGGATCAAAAGAGATAAATATTATGAATCGGTCATATCAGATGAAATCAATCTGGAGTAGAATGAAATGATATCTTAAATTTTAAAATAAGTAAAAGAGAATGATATTTACTTTAAAACTAATTTTCATTCTTTGGGGGTGGGGATCTTGTGATTTGACATGCATTGGAACCATTTATTCAGATAGCAACAATGCTGAAAATCAGCACCCGAATTAGAGAACACATAACATCAGTAACAGTGCTCTTGTTATTGCACAATATAAACACTGTGATAGCCAGTGAAAATGTTGGTATATAAATAGAGGGCTCGTCTCTCCAGAGTGTCAAGTACAAAAAAATCAGGCATCTCTTTTGGTGAAATCACAGGGTGAGATAATGTTCTATTTCTTCACAGAAGGGAAAAAAGAATATAAAAATATCCTCTTGTTTATTGACTCTAGGTCATAATTTAAATTATCATTATATTAAATTCCACCATATTTTCTCAGTAAAATCCTTATTAATGTGACATAATTTAATATAATACACAAAAGATGTGAAGAAATATTCTTGCTAAAGTAAACAAATACTTTAATTTCCAAAAAATATTAACTGGAATTTAAATAATGAAATATTAATATTTCTAATTTTAATGCATTTCAGGCTGATATCATTTTCATATCCTGTTATACAGGCCTGTTCATACATGTACCCCTTGGCCTCTATGTTCCAAGGGACTTCACCAACTCGGAGGGTAGAATTTCCCAAGTACAACTGTGTTTTCAGTTAACCGAAGAAGTAAAAATATATTTGGAAAAATAAAAATTGGCATTCCTATACCAAAACTAATGCAGACTTTGAGAAGTTCTAATTTCCTCTGGATGGGACAAAATGTGGACGCAGAAAGCACTATGCAGAACCTGAGGGCTTGGGTTCTAGTTCTGAAGCTGCAGATGCTCCATTCCAGAACCCAGGCTAGAAGGAGGGCAGACAACATCACTGCGGGGTGCCTTCCAGCTCTAAGACGTATGAGTCTGGGGTACTTTTATAGTGTGAAGAAACAAATGACACGACCAAAGTGAAAAAGGAGATCTTACTGTTCTTCGAAGGATCTTTTACCACCGCATTTGTTTTGGCTACGCTGTCCGCTAGTTGATTGTAATTTTTCTTCAGGCCGTCAAGGTCCTGGTGGAGATCTTTAATCCGAGCCAGCACATGCTTTGCTGTGTCGTTGGCTTGTCTCGCTTTGTCCTTAACGCCTTGCAGTTTAGTGGCTGTGTCTGCCAGCAGAAGGTGTAAGGAACAGAACACAGGGTGTGGGGTTAGTGGCTTACTCCATGAGAGTCAGAGGGAGGCGGTGGCTTGCCGACCTCAGAGACACACACGCAAAGGGAAAGGCTGAACTCTGTCTCATTAGGTTATAGCTAAGGAAATAGATTTTTAGCGAAATGAAATTTTCTCAGGGACCTTTGGTAGGCATATTTGATTAACTCTTCCAATAGCAAAGTTATTATTCTAAATGTTTATTGCATAAGGGTACATTGTGATTGGCTGCTGAGCTTATTATAGAGAGAAATTTACCCATGATTCATAGTTTCATCTGCACATTCAGAAGAGACAATGATGAATGTACTTCAACTTAAAGGTAGACAGACCTTCTCAGTTCTTTTAGACCATGTGTTTACGTATTTATATTTATTTTCAGCATTGGAAAATTTCTAAAAATGTCCTTGCTACTGAGGGTCATGACATGCAATCCTGGGAAGTTAGATGTCTTTAATGTTAAAAAAGTAAAATTAATATTTTCTGTGTTATATAAACGTATGCATTAGTTTCCTTGATCATAATTTGTGTAAAAACCATATACTGAAAAAATAGATGCCAATTAGTATGTGTAGATTAGTGGTTAAGAGCACAGGCTCCAAGAACTCCTAGGTGTCATAGTTGGTTAAGCATACAACTATTGATCTCAGCTCAGATCAAAATCTCATGGTTTGTGAGTTCAAGCCCCATGTCAGGCTCTGTACTGGCAGTGCAGAGTCTGCTTGGGATTCTCTCTCTCTCTCTCTCTCTCTCTCTCTCTCTCTCTCCCTCCCCTCTCCCACTTGCATGCACTCTCCCTCAAAATAAATAAATAAACTTTAAAGGAAAAAAAAAGACCACAGGCTCCAAAATTAAACTGTGGAGTTCAAATCTCATATATGCTACTTTTAACAATGGCCTTCAGTAACTTGTTTGTTTCTTAAATTCGATATATGAGTGAAATCATATGGTATTTGTCTTTCTCTGACTTACTTCCTTAGCATAATACTATGTATCAGTTCGTCACCTAAAAAGTGTGGATAGGGGTGCCTGGGTGGCTTAGTCGGTTAAGCATCCAACTTCGGCTCAGGTCATGCTCTCGCGGTTTGTGGGTTCGAGTCCGGTGTCCGGCCTGTCTTTGGATTCTGTGTCTCCCTCTCTCTCTGACACTCCCCTGCTCACGCTGTCTCTACCTCTCTCTCAAAAATAAATAAAAACATTAATTTTTTTTAAAAAAGTGTGGATAATACTATTCACTTTACAGGATTAATATGAGGATTGCATACACTTAACAAGCATATTGGATAAGCACTCAAGAAACATTAGCAAACTTTATTATTGTATTATGCTATTAAAAATATAAAGGATAGTGGTTTCAGCAACTAATTCCAAACAATAACTTCAAGTACTTATAATAGGTAGGAAGATATTACAGACATGGTTCTAACGTTACTATTTGAAAGTTGAAACATTTAAGGAACTGAACTTTGCCAAGAAAGAAGTGCTCATGGTTGCCAGAAGGAAAGGGTGGTGGGGAGATAGGAAAAATGGGTGAAGGATGGTGGGAGATAAAGGCCTCCTCTTACATCATGGATCAGTCATAGAAATAAATACACAGTATAAGGAAGATAGCCAATGCTACTGTATGGTAGCTACAGTTGTGGTGAGTATAGTATCACCTATAGAGGAGTTGAATACTATGTTGTGCACTTGAAAATAATGTAACATTGTGGATCAACTATATTAAAAATAAACATGATGTGCAGAAAGACTCTCACCTGTTATTGTAGGTACTATAATAATCTGCTGTAACTTTGTGGTAGAATGACCTTTTGGAGAACAGTACTTGTGTGATGTTATTTTTCCCCATTAATATAAGACTACAAATAACATTATTTCTAACAATAATAGTTTTATCAGGAATAAGATTTCCTGGTCTGACACATGGAAGAACAGTATCATATCAAGATGGCTATATATTTTCTTTTTTTGCAACATATGCCTATGGCTGTCAGCTAGGGTAATAAAGCATAAGAAATATCACAGTGTGAGTGTACGTTAGTCTTTCATTCTCACAAAGAAGAATTCATAAGTAAGAAAACCAATATCTAATTTCCTGACAACAGTCCAAGTGCAATGTCAGAAAAAATGGTAAATGTTAGAACATTCTTTAAAAGTTCAGGTCAACTGAGGGGCGCCTGGGTGGCTCAGCTAGTTAAGCATCTGGCTTTGGCTCAGGTCATGATCTCATGGTTTGTGAATTCAAGCCCCGTGTTGAGCTCTGTGCTGACGGTGCAGAGCCTGGAGCCTCCTTCAGATTCTGTGTCTCCCTCTTTTTCTGTCTTTCCTCGGCTCATGCTCTCTCTCTCTCTCTCATAAATAAATAAACTTAAAAAATAGTTCAGGTCAACTGACAAAGTGTGCAATGTCTGGAATGCTTACCATTTGGAATGGCTGACAATTTTCCCAAAGTGTCATTCAAAGCTCTCAGGAGATCACCATTTCTAACATCTGCATTTTCTAATCGGGTTCTTAAGCCATTCAGATAGTCATCATTTTCTGTGGGTAGAAAACAAAAAAAGATGAAATAATTTTAATCATCTTTGAGCTTATACATCACTGATCTAGCTATAATTTCAAATTATTTTTTTTTAATTTTTTTTAATGTTTTATTTATTTCTAGGAGAGAGAGAGAGACAGCGTGAGCAGGGGAGAGTCAGAGAGAGAGGGAGTCACAGACTGAAAGAGGCTCCAGGCTCTGAGCTGGCAGTCAGCACAGAGCCCGACGCGGGGCTCGAACCCACGAACCACGAGATCATGACCTAAGCGAAAGTCGGACGCTTAACCGACTAAGCCACCCAGGCACCCCAATTTCAAATTATTTTAATATAAAATTTATAAAAGGCAGGAGAATTAACTTAATTTTTTTAATTAAATAGCATCTCTCAATAAATATATTTTAGATCATAATGTAAAATATGTTTACGGAATGACCACTTCATTTTTTATAGTTTATTGTCAAGTTGGTTTCCATATAACACCCAGTGCTCATCCCCACAAGTGCCCTCCTCCATGCCCATCACCTCTCTTCCCCTCTCCCCCACCCCCATCAGTCCTCAGTTTGTTCTCAACATTCAAGAGTCTCTCATGGTTTGCCTCCCTCCCTCTCCCCAACTATTTTTCCCCTTCTCCTCCCCCATGGTCCTCTGTTAAGTTTCTCCTGTTCCACTTATAAGTGAAAATATATGGTATCTGTCCTTCTCTGTCTGACTTATTTCGCTCAGCATAACACCCTCGAGTTCCATCCATGTTGCTACACATGGCCAGATTTCACCATTTCACTCTTGAATATGTTATACAACCATGTTTTTTTCTTGGTACCTGACTTTATCTCACTTAATTTGATGGTTTTCTATGGAGAAAAAAAACTTCAAAAGAATCAATCTTTTATTGCCCTTATAATGATGCCCTCTTGATATCATTCCCATGAATATTACTTATTTTCAAAATTTCATTACCAAAATGGATCATTTGGATTGGTTTTTAAAAATCTTGAATAGATATGATTTAAGTAGAATCTCCCAACTTCAGTATCATATTAATATTTCCTTGAAAAAGAAATAAAAATCATAGGAATAAAAAAACAAATTCTAGTACATTTCTGATAAACTGGCATATTTTTATAGAGAAATAATATTTTATAAATTGCTGTCAAATAGGCTTTCTATAGATTGTTTTTTTCTCTCTACCTTCGCATGATTTCTTTAACATTAAACAAAAAAAAACCCCACTGTAGATAATTTAATATTACAAGTGTACATTTTTCAGCTTCTTTCCACTAGTTTTTTTTAACATTGTCCAAACTTTGGCTTAGTTTGTATTATAATAGCAACTAAGAGGTTCAGAGTTTGAGTGTAACAGTATAAAGGATTAAGTTATGAAATATTTTAGAAGAAAATAAAGATCCAATCTGCTAGTAGAAGAACCTAAGTTTAGAAATTTTGCTTAAATACACATCAAATTGTGAATGTATCTTAAAATCAAATCTGTCTTTTTTTTCTTTAAACATCATTTATTAATGAACACTATAATTGAATAAATGAAAGATATAAAACCCTAGGCCTCCTATAATACTTTTTACTTTTTATGACTGGATAAAACAGATCGTTTCTTAAAAAAATATTTCAAATAGTTTATTATTGCATAACATTTATTCCCTTGTGAGATGCATGCCAATCATTTCAATTAGCTCTACAGAAATGCAAAATATAAATACACGGTAGAGACCTCAATTAAAGAGGAACACTGAGAAAGGACCAGGAAAGAGGTAGCCCCCTCCTGGCCGGGACTGGCAGAGACATTCAGTGATAGTAATGACCGGCGGTCTGTGTGAATGTGTATGTGATATAATAACTTCAAGATATTTCTACTATTACCATCTCCAACTTACAAATGAGGAAATTGAGGCTTAGAGAATTTATGTAAATTTCCTAAATTTCCATGATTAGTAAATGGCAGGGAATTCAAATCCACATGATCTTATTCTAGAAATTGTGCTTTTTTTTCATGGGTTTTGTTTTTTGTTTTGTTTTTTACAAATAGTTTATTGTCAAGTTGGTTTCCATATAACACCCAGTGCTCAGCCCCACAAGTGCCCTCCTCCATGCCCATCCCCCCTCCCCCGACACCCATCAGTCCTCAGTTTGTTCTCAGCATTCAAGAGTCTCTCGTGGTTTGCCTCTCTCCCCCTCCCCCACTATTGTGCTCTTAACGGCCACAGTTTGCTAGCGTTAGTAATCAAAACCAGGGATCCGCAGAGCATATTAGGTAGTAGCGCTCTTCCCTACCCACACCTGACATCCCATCCTTTCACCTCATTTCTCCTCATTTTCTCCTTTGTTGCTTTAAAAAAAATTGGCCACAGTTAAAGACATCTTATGAGCCTCACACAAAAACTACGTAAATAATCAAACAGGAATATTAGAGAAAATTAGCAATGGCTACATGCAAAATGACATGCAGATATACAAAGTGTTCCACATTTTTGTGAATGATGAGCAAAATAGAGGAATAGGCAGGTCACAATAAAATAAATAGAAATAATCACCAAATTCAAATAAAGCACCTAAGATTATCATATACAAAGGAAAAGTAAGATATCATTTCTCATTTATCAGATTGGAAAAATATAAATGTCTGATAATACCAAGTGGTTACAAGATTATTGGTGGAAATGCAAACTGATGTCATTTTCTGAAGTACAATTTAATAAATGTATTAGAATTTTAAATAAACATCTATTTGTCCCAGCAATTGCATGGCCAGAAATTTAGACTACAGATATACTTGTGAAACTTTATCAACATGTATCTTCCAGAATGCTCATTAGATCTTTATTTGTAATACCAAAAAAAGAGAAATAGCAAAAAACGCTCTGTGTTAGGGAATGTTTATATCAATATGGCAATGGTATATACACAGTCTTTAAAAAGAATTAGGTGAGTAGGTGCAGATATGAAATCAAAATCCTTAAGATCTTTTTCATGAAACTGAGCAAGATGTACCATATGTATATGCTAACACATGGATGTAAAAATTTGTCAAGGTGGGATCTTGTAGAGGGTAGGTGGCATAGAATATACCAGAGAACCCTGACAGTATTTACAGCAGGAAGGGAGTTGATGGTGGTGTGGGCAAGGGTGTACTAAAACCTTTCATTTCACACTTAGTTATGCTGGATAAATTGTTTCTTGGTGCAGATATTTCTATTCTTTTATTTCAAAGATTAAAAAAACAAACAAACAATAAAAAATGACTACCACAACCCGACCTAGGGCAGATCGTTATTGCCAACCCCACAACTGTTGTTTTCATCGCTTTCTTAGTACCTAGTGTGGGGAGGCCAGGACAGACTAGGTCTTATACAACTAAGCCAGAATGGTCTTGATTTGGTTGTATGCATACCCCTTGTAGAGGCAGTGCACCTGACTTCTCAGAGGAACTGAGCAGGCCCCTGTCATCTGGAGAACAACCCTGGCCTTGATCAGCCTGCATCTGGGAAGGAGAGCAAAGGGAAAGGAAGATGGATGAAGGATTCTTAACTAGCAGTGTTCTGAATGTGAAAAAGAGGACTGAACATATTAATTAATGACCCACTTCATTTCATGTAAGGGCTTTATGGGCAGATAGATTAAACCACTGTTATACAATAGTAAAGTAAGCGCGTGCTACAGTTTAATGCATCTGCTTTTAAGTTCCAAGTCAAAGACCTGACATCACTGAAAAACAAAGCATAAAATATCCTAGCAAAGCATGGCTCTAAAACATCAATATGTCCATTTCAGTCACTAAGATGTTATTATTTTCAATTCCAGTGCCTCAAAGTATACTTTCCAAGTAATTAGATTTTCTCCTCTGTCAATCATGATTCGTCTTTCTTTTAATACTTCTGTTATTTTCTCTGTTTGTACTAAAATAAAATCTCTGGATAGGTTATTGAAAGTCTACTTTCAGAAAGAAAGCCAGTCTGATTATGAGTATGATAGCTATATGAATTCCTTGCAAATAAAGGGCTGCTCTTTTGATATTAACTTGCAAGTCTTTGTCAATTAAGGAAATGGAACAGTACAAATTTTATTTCTTAGCTTCTTGATTGGATTTGATTTTTTATATAATGAAGCATTCAAAATGTTCTGGCAAGCAAGATCTTCATGTACAGTGAAAACAACCATTAGTTTAAAGGGCATCACTAGGTTTATACTGTTTTATGCATTCGGATAGCCAATGCTGGCTGAACAATCAGGCTAATTATTCCAAGGAAAGACTGATCTGAAGAACATAGTTGCTGCTGTCCCTCAAGTTCCAAAGCAGTAATTTTTATCCTCTGCTTTCTGTACTAGAAAATCAAAATGTGAATACTCTGACCCCACTCTGATTTCTGTGTTTCACCTATTTGATTAAGATGCCTTCTTGATGTATCCTTTCTCACATTCTGATCATTTTTTTTTTTTTCTGAAGTAGTTTCTGGAATTTCTCAAACCAAATCTAAACACTTTATGACTTTGTCAATAGAATTAGGTGAATAGAAGCTGTGTACAGAGAAGTACTGCAGATTTCAAAATGGAAAACCTGAGAAATTATAGCAATGAAAAGCTAGAAAAAATAAGCACTCTAAGATTGGCTTTAAATGAAAAGACATGAGGCAGAGTGTGTCTCTAGCTGACATGGAAGGAAGATTACATTTGGCCCAGTTTGAACTGTAACGTGACCACAGAAACAGAATTATTAGTAGTTAAAAGAACATCTAACCCAATTCTTTAGTTGTCATTTCTGAAGAACAAGAAAGGATCAAATTTATAATTCATAGTGACATTTTAGAGGATCTCTTCTCACTTTCTTGGCTCTTGCACCCAGTAGCTATAGTCAAGTCATTCTCTTTTTCTTCTCTCTGGATACCACCCCCACCAAGCCTCAAAGGCCATACATGCATGCTTTCTCAGCTCTGGTTTCCCTTTCTCATCCTGTCCTCACACATTAGAAGACAAATGTCCAGAAATGGG